ATTTAATCAATCATGAACCCATGATCTAAGATTTTTAATGATTGCTGTAATTAATGTTTCTCAAAGAGCTTGTTTTCTGTAACAAAGTTGATTTTTTTTTTTTTTTTTGAGACAGAGTCTCACTGTCACCCAGGCTGTAGTGGAGTGGCACAGTCTTGGCTCACTGTAACCTCCGCCTCCCGGGTTCAAGCGATTGTCCTGCCTCAGCCTCCTGAGTAGCTGGGATTGCAGGCACCCACCACCATGCCCGACTAATTTTTATATTTTTAGTAGAGATGGGGTTTCACCATGTTGCCCAGGCTGGTCTCGAACTCCAGACCCCAGGTGATCCACCCACCTCAGCCTCCCAAAGTGTTGGGATTACAGGCGTGAGCCACCACGCCCGGCTGATTTTTTTTTAAAACTCTCTCTTTTTGGTCTGCTGTTACACTAACAGTAATTTTATTTACCATCTGGCTTATTTAGTTCTGTATACTAGATAATTAATATATACAATCTTTATGATAATTACTCATTCTTACAAGTTTTTGGAAATGAACAAAGGGACTGCTTTTCCCTTTCTCTGGTAGACACACCGTAAGAAGTGGACTTTGGTTGTAGTTTAGTGGTATAGATGTTTGTAAGAAACTATTTTAGGTTGGGCGCCGTGGCTCATCCCTGTAGTCCCAGCACTTTGGGAGGCCAAAGGCAGAGGATTGTTTGAGCCCAGGACTTCAAGACCAGCCTGAGCAACATGGCAGGATCCCATCTCTGCAAAAATTAAAAAATTAGCTGGATGTAGTGGGCACATCTGTAGCCCCAGCTACTTCTGAGGGTCAGGTGGGAGGACCTCTTGAGACCAAGAAGTTGAGGCTGCAGTGAGTTGTGTTTGGGCCACTGCACTCCTGCCTGAGCGACAGAGTGTGACTTGTCTCAAAAATAAAAAACCCAGACAGTATTTAGCATGTTTTTGTATCTATATATAGTTTGCCTCAAACAATACATCAGGGGATGTAGGAAATTTTGTATGCTTTCACAAGGCATCTGAGATCCTCTGTGATCTGCCTCCTAGTTTCCTTGCAATTTTGAGCTATTTGGGAATAAAGGTTCTTTGTTAACAAATTTCCTATTTACTGCCTGTTTTCTCTTATAGCTAAAACTATTTAAATGAGTGTTTTCCACTCCATATCTCTGCAACCTCGCTGTCTACTTACCCTTCAGCCCATTCTAACTTGATTTTAGTTCCCTCACATAGCTACTCACATAGCTCCTGCAAGGTATAGACTCAATTTTGCTAAATCCAATGAACATTTCGTTGGCCTTATCTTTCCTTCTCAGAGCATTCAGCACAAATTACTTTATCTGTTTTTCTTGAAACATTATCTTCTTTGGTATTTTTGCCATAATAGCTATACCATCTTCCTAGTAACTTCATGGTCTATGGATTTTTTTTTTTTTTTTAAGAGACTGAGTCTTGCTCTGTTATCCAGGCTAGAGACAGTGGCATCATCATGGCTCACTGCAGCCCCGACCTCTGGATTCAATGATCCTCCCACCTCAGCCTCCTGAGGAATAGCTGGGACTACAGGCATGCCCACCATACCTGGCTAATTTTTAAGTTTATTGTAGAGATGGTATCTTGCTGTGTGACCTAGACTGGTCTGGACCTCCTGGCCTTAAGCAATCCTCCCACCTTGGCCTGCCAAAGTGCTAGGATTAAAGGTGTGAGCCACCACATTCGACTGGTCCATGACTTTTAACACTACCTCTAGACTTATACTTCACAACTTTATCTTTTCAGTCCTGGCCTTTTCCCTGCCTCTAGTATCTAACTACCCTCGTTTGGACTTGTAGTATGCATTTCAAATATATTATCTCTATAAGAGGTGTTTTTTTTTTTTTTTTTCATGCCAAATCTGTTTCTTTTCTAGTCAGGAACCCAGTTTTTTATCCAAAAACCTAGTTCACCTTAATCGTCCTTATTCCTCACATCCAGTAGTAATTGAACTATAAATGTTAGCAGCCATTTTTTTTAAGATTATCTTATATACTTAGTATTTATTACTAACAGCTTCTCTAACCGTTACAGCAGTTTTGCAGGGTAGGTATGTTGATTCTCTTGTTGCATATGAGGAGACGAGCTCAGTCACTTGTCCAATGTCATGTGATCCGTAAGTGCCAGAGCTGGGAATCAGACACAGATCTAAAGATTGTGATTCTTCCAGTTTAATGATGGAGAGAAAATGATTTTTAAATTTTATTTTATTTTATGTTTATAATTTTTAAATTGAATGAGGGGGAATGCTCTAAACATATTTAACATTATGCATTAATATTGTATCACTGGTTGGTTGGTTTTGGTTTGAAAGAAACATTGTTTTTCTCAGAGTATTAACATTGTCATATTTATTTTGTAATTAAATTAGATTGTGGAGACTGAGTAATCTCATGCATGTATGCCTGTAATCCCAGCACTTTGGGAGGCTCAGGTGGGCGGATCACTTGAGGTCAGAGCTGGAGACCAGCCTAGCCAACGTAGGAAAACCCTGTCTCTAATAAAAATGCAGAAACCATCTGGGTGCGGTGATGCATGCCTGTAATCCCAGCTACTCGGGAGGCTGAGGCACGAGAATTGCTTGAACCTGGGAGGCAGAGGTTGCAGTGAGTTGAGATGGCACCACTGCACTTGAGCCTGGGTGAGAGAGTGAGACTTTGTCTCAAAAAATAAATAAATAAATTAGATTGTGAAATACAAGATAAATATGCCACAAATATTCAGAGAATGTAAAGCTCAATGTAGCCTGGGAAAGGCAGGAAATTTTATGGACATGATCCAGTGACATTTCCATGATCCAGAGACAGGACATGGAGGGAGGGCCAAGCACATATATGTCAACAGTGTTATATAGTGCAGCAATAAACCTGTTTTGACTGGGAGGGAGGGGGACATTTAAACATATGATCTGGTTACTCCCTATCATAGTCCCAGTCTTTGTTAAGGTTTATAATCTAGCAGGACAAAGAAGATCAACAAATAAGTCGTTATAATAAAGTTTCTGAAGGGGGAAGTATAGTGGTAGAGCATGGCAATTGTATCTAAAATAGTCTGCAGAGTGTCAGGGAATGCTTTTTGGAGAAAGCAGCTTATGAACTGAAATCTAAACAATGAGTAGGAGTAACCCAGATGAAGAAAGGTTTTGAAGAATATCTTAGGCGGAGAGAGGAAACATGTAAAGACATAACCTTGCTGGGTCATAGGGCCAGTTCTGGAGAGGAGTTCATGAGACCGGTTCTGGAGAGGAGCTATGACTTTAACAGAAGAGTGGCATGGTCATGTCATTGTTTCAGGGGAAGAAACCTGACCCAAATTTCGTTTTTGCCTAGAGACCAAGGTAATAATAATGTTCAAGGTTATTAAGAATGGAGGAATCCTTTTCCGTAGGATTTTTACTTTATTTTTATTTTTATTTTTGTTTTTTGAGACAGAGTCACGCTCTGTCACCCAGGCTGTACAGTGCAGTGGCGCGATCTTGGCACCCTGCAGCCTCTACCTCCTGGTTCAAGCAATTCTCCTGCCTCAGCCTCCCGAGTAGCTGGGACTACAGGTTCACACCACCACACCTGGCTAAATTTGTATTTTTAGTAGAGACAAGATTTCACTATGTTGGCCAGGCTGGTCTCAAACTCCTGACCTCATGATCTGCCTGCCTCAGCCTCCCAAAGTGCTGGGATTACAGGCGTGCTCTGTATGCTTTTTCTTTCAGCTTTGTTTTCTTTGCTCTAAAGTACCTTGCTTCCTTTCATTTTAAGTCTTTTACTGTCCTTTAAGGTTTCCTTGGGAATTTTATTTCTAAATTAATTATTTGGCATCAAGTTAAAGCTCATGTTCATTTTAAGAAGTAGAAAGAGATAAACAAATAACAGATATTGGGAGTACGTTGGTGTAGGATCATAGTTGTTTACCTCTAAACCTATTTATCAGACAACTAAAACATAAAGTTTTTTGTTTTATTATAAACCTGTTGTTTCCTGAAAACTAGTCAGAAAATCTTAACATCTCCTTCCATATGGTATAAGATTGCTCTCAGTTTCCTAATAAATTATTAACATAATTTTTGGTTTAGTAGAGACATTATTCTCTTCTAAAACCTTTTTGTAATTATGAGGAAACCAAGATATCTAGAAGCTTCAATTACTGAACTATGAAACCTTTTTGTTTTGTTTTGTTTTGAGACAGAGTCTTGCTCTGTCGCCCAGGCTAGCGTGCAGTGGCAGGATCTCAGCTCACTGCAACCTCCGCCTCCCTGGTTCAAGCGATTCTCCTGCCTCAGCCTCCCGAGTAGCTGGAATTACAGGCGCCTGCCACCATTCCTGGCTAATTTTTGTATTTTTAGTAGAGACAGGGTTTCAGCATGTTGGCCAGGCTGGTTTCCATCTGCTGACCTCAGGTTATCTGCCCACCTTGGCCGCCCAAAGTGCTGGGATTACAGGCATGAGACACCATGCCTGGCCCTATGAAACTGTTTTAAGACTTAAAAGTTGTGCTCTATTGCTTATTCATTTTTTTAGGTTTGATTTACATGTCTATAATGTATGTAACTCAGAATTAGCTTCCCTTTTTTTGAATTAGCTTTTCAAAAACTAAATTCAGTAGTAAACTAGATAGAAATAAATCATCACTATGGTTTATTTTTTAGTGCAAAGGAGACAGTCATTATTATAAGACAATAGTAAGATTATATACACGTTCCCTGTGAGAATCAGCTAGTCCTGGAATCATTCCTTTTCCTGTGTGAGAGTAGCCTTTTAACAGCTATTTTGCACTGAGTTCTGTCCCTTTAAAAGTTTATCCCTATGAGGATGATAGTGTGAAGGAGACGGTAGATTGCCTATTATTTCTGTATCTCTAAAATTAAGCACTAGACAGTGCTTAAAACTCATTAGATTTGTATTATTTTATATATATATATAAATAAAGTAATGGTGTTTTCTAATCAAAATCTAATCTTTCGACCCCTTAGCGCTGGCTGACAGAGCAGAGAGCTCAATGTCCTCATTGCCGGTAAGTGTTTCGCTATGATTATTTGTGAATTTGGAAAATAGTAAGGTCAGAATGTGCCTTAGGATTCATAAAGGCAGTTTTCCTGCAGTCAGCCCATTTCTCTTCTTCTTGAAGATAGTTGAGTAGAAATAAGCAATCTGACTAGAAAAAGAAATGCAGGGACTAATTCATGTGACTTAAAATTATGTTTACTATGTTGTACTCTGCCTCTCTTAGAAAATACTTGTGTAAGTTCTTAATTTACCTTTCATAATTAAGCAACAAATTTTTCATGTTTCTGGTTAAAAAATCCAGATAGTTAGGCCATAACTTATCTTTTATAATTAAGCAAAAAATTTTAATGTTTCTGGTTAAAAAAATCCAGATAGTTTGGCCGGGCACAGTGGCTCACACCTGTAATCCCAGCACTTTGGGAGGCCAAGGTGGCTGGATAACCTGAGGTCGGGAATTCAAGACCAGCCTGGCCAACATAGTGAAACCTTGTCTCTACTAAAAATACAAAAATTAGCCGGGCATGATGGCACGCATCTATAGTCCCAGCTACTCAGGAGGCTGAAACATGAGAATCGCTTGAACCTAGGAGGTGGAGGTTGGAGTGAGCTGAGATCGCACTGCTGCACTTGAGCCAACGTCGCGCCATTGTACTCCAGCCTGAGTGACAGAGCGAGAGTCTGTCTCAAAAAAAAAAAAAAAAAAATCCATATGGTAGAGATAAATATAAAATAAAAAGGCTTCTGATTCTGATACTCCCTGCCCTGTCTTCTCACTTAATAACACTTGCAAAAGAAATTGTTGGATTTGGTATCTATTCTTCTAGACTATTTTTTGTGCATGTATTTTGTAATGCCCTAATCCAGTATAATTGTGCCTATATTTAAATATATGCGTATGTGATTCCCATATGCTTTTTCTTAAAATGTACCAATGATATAATATTGTTTTGCAGTTTGCTTTTTCATGTAAAATATGGTAGGTATCTTTTCTTGATTGTATGTATATATAAGTCATTTTTTTTAAAAGTGACTAATCAATGTTATGACTATACCTTGATTTATTTATCCCCATATTAAGAGACATTTAGGTTATCTCTACTTTTGGTTTCAAAAAATAATGCTGGAGTGCCATCTGTTGCCCATTTTTTCGTTTTGTATTCACTTTTCTTTACTTTTTATTTTTTTTGAGACAAGGTCTCGCTCTGTCGTCCAGGCTGGAGTGCAGTGACGCGATCTCAGCTCACTGCAGCCTCGACCTCCTGGGCTCAGGTGATCCTCCTACGTAAACCTGCCTCCTAACTGGGACCACTGGTGTGTGCTACCATGCCAAGCTAATTTCGTTTATTTTTTGTAGAATGAGATGTCACTGTTTTTGCCAAACTGGTCTTGACTTCCTGGTCTCAAGGGATCCTACCACCTTGACCTCCCAAAGTGCTAGGATTGTAGGTGTGAACCAGTGTGCCCAGTCCCACCTTTCTTATATTATCTTATAAGACCAGCACTGTCAAGTAGAACTTTTTATAATGATGAAAGTGTTCTATGTCTACACTGTCCAGTATGGTAGCCACTAGCTACTTGTGGTTGTTGATCACTTGAAATGTGTCTAGTGTGGCTATATGATGAAATTTTATTTAGTTATTTATTTTTGAAATGGAGTCTCACTCTTTCTCCAGGCTGGGGTGCAGTGGCGCAATCTTGGCTCACTGCATCCTCAATCTCCCTGGCTCAGGTGGTCCTCCTACCTCAGCTTCACGGGTAGCTGGGACTATAGGCACATGCCACGACGCTTGGCTAATTATTTGTAGAGACAGGGTTTCATCATGTTGTCCAGGCTGGTCTCGAACACCTCGGTTCAAGCAATCTACCCACCTCAGCCTCCCAAAGTGTTGGGATTACAGGCATGAGCCACCATGCCAACAGTACAGCATTAGACTCAGAAGTTGAGAATTCAGTCCATATTCTGAGTCATATGTTTTTGTTTAGTTTTTTTGTTTGTTTTTGTAAATGACGTGTTAATATGGTGAAAATAAGTTGCAAAGAGTATTTTTCATTGTGTCTTTTTCTTTTTTCTTTTTTTTTAGTTTTAATAGTGTTATGGGGCCAGGTAGTGGCTCATACCTGTAATCCCAGTACTTTGGGAGGATCACTGGAGGCCAGGAGTTTAAGACCAGCCTGGGAAATATAGCGAGATCCCTGTCTTTACAAAAGATTTTAAAATTACCTGGATTTGATGGTGTGCTGCTGTAGTCCCAGCCACTCAGGAGGCTGAGGCAGGAGGATCGCTTGAGCCCAGGAGGTCAAGGCTGCAGTGAACCATGATCATGCATGCTGCTGCATTCCACCCTGGGTCATAGAGTGAAACTCTATCTCTTAAAAAAAAATAGTGTTATGGTATGAGTATTTTTGTGCTCTCTATTTTGAGAAATGTGTTTATTTTATAAAATAATCTGAAATTCATGAATTAGTGTATGTGTATGGATTTTCTCCCCAGTGCTCCACTCCAGCTACGAGAACTAGTAAATTGTCGTTGGGCAGAAGAAGTAACACAACAGCTTGATACTCTTCAACTCTGCAGTCTCACCAAACATGAAGAAAATGAAAAGGACAAGTATGTCCTCAATTTCTTTGTTCAGTATGGAATGGATTTTGCCTTTGTGTTGTTTAATGACACTATATTGGTAGTTGCCATTTAGTTATTTATGAATAAGTAGTGTTAAATTTCTTAAGTTTTTAATTCTTTCAATCATGTGCTGTTGCTGTTAAGTAACATATTCTTATTATGTTTATTTAACAGCGGTTATTTCATGCCATGTATATACACAGACACCCCTTGCCCTCTCCTCCCCCCATACAGAAAGTGCTTTGCTAGATGATAGGCATACAGAGGTAAATGAGACATAATTTCTGTTAACTGCTTAATGGGGACACAGTGATAATACTGTGTTAAGTCATTTGAGGGACAAGAGTGAATAAATGGTCTTATGTTCCATGATTGAAGAATTTTGAACGTATCTGGAGAGTTGTTATGGGGAGCAGATAAAGAAAGGAAAGAATGATGTGGCAGTGATTTGTTTTTATAGATGAAGAAGCTACAACATGGTTAATTGTAAGGCTTCACTGTCCAGCAATAGTAAAATAACTTGAATTAGGTGAGAGTCCAGGACCCTTGAATGTTTAGAAATAAAACCTGGTCACTTTCTGTAGAGTCACAACATGGTAAAGCAAGAGGTTGAAACCTCACAGGTCATTAGAAAAAATTTTATCTGTTTCTTCATTATACTGAGGAACTAGAACCATAGAAATAAGAGAACAGGGCATGGTGGTGTGCACCTATAGTCTCAGCTACTTGGGAGGCTCAGGCAGGAGGATCTCTTGAGCCTAGAGGATGGCTTAGGTAACATAGCAAGACCCCCATCTCTTAAAAAAAGAAAAAGAAAAAAAAGAGGCTTAATTATGGTAGTATATGGTAGTATAACACCATATTCTGATAATTATGGTAGTATAACACCATATTCTGATGCATAATCAGAATTAAAACCTATTATTCGGGCGGGTGTGGTGGCTCATGCCTATAATCCCAGCACTTTGGGAAGCCGAGACGGGTGGATTACCTGTGGTCAGGAGTTCAAGACCAGCCTGGCCAATGTGGAGAACCCCGTTCCTACTAAAAATACAAAAATTAGCTGGGTGTGGTGGTGGACACCTGTAATCCCAGCTACTTGGCAGGCTGAGGCAGGAGAATCACTTGAGCCCAGGAGGCATAGGTTGCAGTGAGCTGAGATGGTGTCATTGCACTCCAGCCTGGGTGACAGAGCAAGACTCCGTCTCCCCCAAAAAAAACTAAAACTAAAACTAAAAAGCTGCTATTCAGGTTTAACTGGACTTTTAAGGAATTCTGTCATTTGTAGCATTGTGGAGGTCTCACCAAAAATAGTTATTTAATTTCTTTTCTATATAATAACACATTTCTTAGGTGAACACTTAGGTGTTTTTCCTCTGAAGTGGTGGGTATTACTATTTGGAAAGACCCTTTACCTCTTGTTGGGCCTGTTCTATTAGAGCCTCTCAAAAGGAATGGACTGCTACAGTTTGCTAACCTGCTAGTCTTTCTTATTTGCTGTTTGATGCCTACTGGCCTCCCCTTTTTGCAGGTGAATACAGGCTGTTGATTAAGAGGAGTTTTGGCAAATTTTCTATATTGTAAAAGCTATATTATAAATTTGGTATTTTGGAAGTCTTGCTATGTGAGCTTCCAAACAGTATCTGATATATTTTTTCTAACCTTTATTAATTTCCCATTTGATACTCTGATTACTTATGAATTAGAAATATAAAATATAAACCTATGTAAGTATTTTCTCTAAGATCGGTGTCCTTCATCAATGAAATGCTTTTTTAAAAATGGGTGAGTGGGTCAGGCGCAGTAGCTCATGCTTGTAATCCCAGCGCTTTGGGAGGCCGAGGCAGGTGAATCACCTAAGGTCAGGAGTTCAAGACCAGCCTGGCCAACATGGTGAAACCCTGTCTGTACTAAGAGTACAAAAATTAGCTGAGCGTGGTGGTGGGCGCCTGTAATCCCAACTACTTGGGAGGCTGAGGCAGCAAGAATTGCTTGAACTCAGAAAGTGTAGGTTGTAGTGGGCCAAGATCACGCCACTGCATTCCAGCCTGGATGACAGAGCTAGACTCCGTCTCAAAAAAAAAAATTGCAAGAGTGTATCTACTTTATAAACAATAGAATACTTAAAACATTTTAATTATGGTAAAATACACATAAAATTACCATCTTAATCATTTTTTTTTTTTTTTTGAGACGGAGTCTCGCTCTGTCGCCCAGGCTGGAGTGCAGTGGCGCTATCTCAGCTCACTGTAAGCTCCGCCTCCCAGGTTCACGCCATTCTCCTGCCTCAGCCTCCTGAGTAGCTGGGACTACAGGTGCCCGCCACCGCGCCCGGCTAATTTTTTGTATTTTTAGTAGAGACAGGATTTCACCGTGTTTGCCAGGATGGTCTCGATCTCCTGACCTTGTTTTCCGCCCTCCTCGGACTCCCAAAGTGCTGGGATTACAGGTGTGAGCCACCACGCCCGGCAATCATTTTTAAATGTACAATTCAGTTATATTAAGCATGTTCACATGTTCAACCAATCTCCAAAACTTTTTAAACTTGCAAATCTGAAACTGTACCCATTAAACCACTCCCCATTCCCTCTTCCCACCAGCCCCTGGCAGCCACCATCGTACTTTCTGTTTCTATCAGTTTGAGTACTCCGGATACCGCATATAAGTAAAACCGTACAGTACCTATCTTTTTGTAACTGATTTATTTTACTTAGCATAATGTCCTCAAGGTTCATCCATGTGTCAAAATTTCCTACCTTTTTAAGACTGAGTAATATTATATTGTATGTATATGTCACATTTTGTTTATCCATTCATCTGTCAGTGAAAATGGCGTTGCTTCCACCTTTGGGCTGTAGTGAATAATGTTGCTACGAACATGGATGTTCATGTCTTTGAGACTCTACTTTCAGTTCTTTTGGTTATGTAATCAGAAGTAGCATTGCTAGATCGTATGGTAATTCTATTTTTAATTTAAGTTTTTAAGGAATCTCCATACTGTTTTCCATAGTGACTGTACCATTTTACAGTCCCACCAACAGTGCACAAGGGTTCCAGTTTCTCCACATCCTGGCCAACACTTGCTTTTTTTTTTGTTTTTTTATAGCAACCATCCTAATATGGTATGAGGTTAGGATTCACATTTCTGTAATGATTAGTAGTGATGAGCACCTTTTCATATGCTTACTGGAGATCTTTTGCTCATGTTTAAATGGGAGTTTTAAAAATTTATTTGTTGAATTATAGGTGTTATTTATATATTCTGGATATTAAACCTTCATTCTTCTCTCTCTCTTTTTTTTTTTTTTTTTTTTTTAAAGTCTTGCTCTGTTGCCCAGGCTGGAGTGCAGTGGTGTGATTATCAGCTCACTGCAACCTCTGCCTCCCGGGTTCAAGTGATTCTCGTGCCTCAGCCTTCTGAGTAGCTGGGATTACAGGCGTGTACCACCACGCCTAGCTAATTTTTTGTGTTTCTAGTAGAGAAGGCGTTTCCACTATTTTGGCCAGGCTGGTCTCAAACTCCTGGCCTCAAGTGATCCATCCGCCTTTGCCTCCCAAAGTGCTGGGATTACAGGCATGAGCCACCACCACACCCAGCCTGTAGTTTATTTGTGTATATGGTGTAAAGTAAGGGTCTGTGTTAGTCTGCTAGGTCTTCCATAACAATACTGCTGAGTAGCTTAAACAATAGAAATTTATTTTCTCACAGTTCTGATAGGTGTTAAGTCCCAGATTAAATGCTGGTAGTGTTGGTTTCTGGTGAGGCCTCTCTTTCTCCTTGACTTATAGATGGCCACCACCTAGCTCTGTCCTTACATGATCTTTGCTATGTGCATGTGCACGCCTAGTGTCTCCTCCTCTTATAAAGGACACCAGTGCTGTTGGATTTGGGTCCTGCCCTTATGATCCTTACTTAACCTTAATTACTTTCTTAAAGGCTCTGTCTGCTAATACATTCACACTGGGGGTTAAGACTTTACCCTGTGAATTTGAGGGGGGACATAGTCAATCCATAACAGAGTCTAACTTTATTGTTTTCCATGTGACTATCCAGTTTAAAAGAAAGTTTAAAATTGAGTTGTTCATTTTCCAGGAGGGTCTAGTATTAACTCGTGCAGTTAATCATGTGTCTTGATTATTGTTATCATTGACCACATGTAGGAAAAGTACTTGTGCATGCTCATGTAGGTATAAATGCATAATCAATATTATTAAGCACATGCCCAGAATGTAGTAGTACAATAGAATTTACCATCTGTAGTGCTGCTTGGAAATGATGCAATATATATGATGTCTTTAAGAAGCAAATCTGTATTTTGCATGTGATTATAAAGTCCAGATCAATGAAAACAGTACTTTAAAAAAATTGTCCACATAAACTTCTTTAGCTTACTTTACAGAAGCCATGGAGTACATTTTATACTGTGTTTCTTGAGACATAATCATTTAAAATTGACCTGTTTGCTCAAGCTTAAGAATTTGTGGAGGTGATAATGTTCCAATTTTATTTAATTTATAACTTTATTTTCTTTTCATAATGTATAGATGTGAAAATCACCATGAAAAACTTAGTGTATTTTGCTGGACTTGTAAGAAGTGTATCTGCCATCAGTGTGCACTTTGGGGAGGAATGGTGAGCAGAACAAATTCAGTATTTTTTTTTTAGTTAGAGACTAGAAGGCACTGAAATACTTATTCAGATAGAAAATAGTGTCATTATGCTCTCGTAGAATGAAAATTAAAATGCATCTGCTTTATAGATGCTTTATTAAAGGTATCGTACTTTTATTCTAGAGAATCTTGTTTGTGCGGTTTAATGTAGGACATGGGCCCCTTACATAAATATTTTAACCTCTAACACCTATGCAACATATCCTCTATTCATTTGCAAATCTTTTTGTTGTAGGATCCAGGTCACTTTTTTCATTAAAGGTCAGTTGATCGATGTACTGGCCAGGGTTTCCAATTTTAGTTCCTTTAAAATGGAGCAAGAACTTAGACACTTGTGAAACAACATTGAGTGCACATATCTAGATCTTATAATTATTTTCTGTTTTTTAGATTGTTTTTTCCAATTGAATTCAAGAGCAGTTTTTAAAGACAGTCTGCCATTATTGAGCTTGAAGCATTGAAGTTAGTTTTCTTAGAATCAGCTTTTTTATTTTAAAGTCATGTTCTGTTGTTTACTGAATACTTTTTTTTCTTGAGAAAAAATTTCACACTCATTGCTGAGGCTGGAGTGCAATGGTGGGATCTCGGCTCACCACAACCTCTGCCTCCCGGGTTCAAGTGATTCTCCTGCCTCAGCCTCCCTAGTAGCTGGGATTACAGGCATGCGCCACCACCACGCCTGGCTAATTTTGTATTTTCAGTAGAGACAGGGTTTCTCCATGTTGGTCAGGCTGGTCTTGAACTCCCGACCTCGGGTGATCCACCTGCCTCAGCCTCCCAAAGTGCTGGGATTACAGGCGTGAGCCACCGTGCCTGGCCTCTGAATACTTAATTAAATGATCTCCTTACAATATTAAGTACAATTGGCCTAAATAGGTTGAGAATAAATACAATGGATTCTCAGTGAGGAAAAATAAGTGATGGGGGAAATGGAAGTGGGTAGGTATCTAGAGTTCCCATGAGAATTGATCATTCTGTGGACGTCAGTCAGTATGTTTTACCTAGAAAGTGACAGGCCAGATTGGTTGAGTAGAGCTCAATTCAGAGAGCTTTCTGTTAGAATTTGAATATTAATGCGCTGACTAGAAAAAATTAAGAAGTTCTTATATTTAATACTTTAAATACATAGATTTTGTAAGATAATAAGTAGAGACTTTTTTTCTATACTTAAAGTGAACATGTAAAAATCTACATCTTTTTTGGAGACAATAATGGGATACTTTGGCTAAATAAGACAATTCTAGTAAGAACTTATAGGAGGCTTCTTATATTAAAAATTTAATAATTCTGGTTACCAATCAAAATTATTTTTAGGTAGTTAGCTATAAAAATTGTTCTTTGAGTTGAATGCAACTGAATTTGTGAGGTTACTACAGAACTAGCGTTCTATCTCTGTAGTAATTCTGTGGGATGGAAAATGGGTTCATTGCTTTTGTTAATTTTGTATCCTGGGCTTTTTCTTCGAGCATCTTTCTAATTCATTCACCTGTGGTAAAGACTAGGGATTTGGTGATGAACATATCAAACAATTAATTACATATTTAATTGGTGTGATAAATTGGAGGAATAAATACAGAGAGCTGATGAGGATGCATAACTATAGCAGCCGATCCTGTAAATCTGAGCTGCAAAGGATGAGTAGGATTAAGACAAACTAAGATGGGAGAAGGAAGATGGAGAATTATTATTATTTGCTTTGTTTGGTTTTTTCGAGATAGAGTCTCACTCTGTCACCCAGGCTGGAGTGCAGTGGCATGATCTCAGCTCACTCCAACCTCCGCCTCCTGGGTTCAAGTGGTTCTCCAGCCTTAGCCTCCTGAGTAGCTGGGATTACAGGCGTGTGCCACCATGCCCAGCTAATTTTTATATTTTTTAGTAGAGATGGGGTTTCACTATATTGGCCAGGCTGATCTCGAACTCCTGACCTCAGGTGATCCACCTGCCTCAACCTCCCAAATTGCTAGTATTGCAGGCATGAGCCACCGTGCCTGGCATTATTATTATTTTTGGTTTTTATTTTTAAAAAATTATTATAATTTTTTGGTACAAAGTCTCTCTCTATCACCTGGGCTGGAGTACAGTGACCCGATCACAGCTCACCGTAAGCTCTGCCTCCCAGGTTCAAGCAATTCTCATGTCTCAGCCTCTTGAGTAGCTGAGATTACAGGTGTGTGCCACCATCCGTGGCTACTTTTTGTATTTCAGTAGAGACGTGTTTTCGCCATGTTGGCCAGGCCAGTATTGAATTCCTTGGTTCAAGCGATCTGCCCTCCTTGGCCTCCCAAAGTACCAGGATTATAGGCATGAGCCACTCCCCCCAGCTGAGAATTATTTTTTAATAAGAGGGACTAATTTTTGTAAAGTCCTGGTGTAAAGAAGTTTGAGGACGTGGAAGAAAACTAGTGTTGCCTTAGAGAAGAGTGAGTGACTGATAAGGTTGTAGCAGATGATTTGGGCTGTGGCTAAAGATTTTGGTTCTTTTTAGTAAGTTAATTTCTAGTTAAATGAGTATTTTGCTAAAGCCCTTTATGTACAATGTTGAAAGAGTTCCTGCATGGACTAAGTGATTTTAAGCAGGCACTGGCCTGCTTCAACAAAATTAATTAGCTAATAAGATAAAGTTCATTTGAAATATTTACCAGTTTATTAGTGTCCATAGAGTGTTACACAGGAATGTAAATGCAGATGAGATATGTGAAAGTATTCTAAAGCTACTCTAATTTAAATAGCATGGCGGACATACCTTTAAACCTTTGGCAGAAATTTATGAGCAACATGTCACTAAAGTGAATGAAGAGGTAGCCAAACTTCGTCGGCGTCTCATGGAACTGATCAGCTTAGTTCAAGAAGTGGTAAGACTACTACTAAAATATAATTATTTTGTTTTTAATCTGTAATGTATAATAATATATTTATATAATATAAGTTAATCAGATGTTGAAATCAAGATTTTCAAGATTTGTAAATTTGATAGGCTGTACCTATAGTCAAATCCCATAAATTTCAGAGTATCTGAGAAATTTCCATACAAAACCCCTGGCTTGTAAGGAAGCAGTTGGAGTCAGAGAATTACCACCTATGCAGAATTAGAAAATCAGTGAAATTAAAAAGTCCATTTGTTACAGAGTCAATAATTAACTTATTTTTTCTTTTTTTTGAGACGGAGTTTCACTCTTGTCCCCCAGGCTGGAGTGCAGTGGCAAGATCTCAGCTCACTGCAACCTCCACCTCCCGGGCTCAAGTGATTCTTCTGCCTCACCCTCCCCAGTGGCTGGGATTACAGGTACCTGCCACCATGCCTGGCTAATTTTTGTATTTTTAGTAGAGACAGGGTTTCACCATATTGGCCAGGCTGGTTTCAAACTCCTGACCTCATGATCCACCTGCCTTGGCCTCCCAAAGTGCTAGGATTACAGGCGTGAGCCACTGTGCCTGGCCCTAATAATTGACTTCTAAACAGAATCAATATTGACTTTTACAGTCATTCATTAAGTTATACACTCTTTGGATCTCCAGCTTTTGGGTGAGTTTCTTTTGCTAAGGAATGAACTATTTGTGATGTCCTGATTTAGAACTCCACAGAGTTGAAAGTGTAATATTTAACATTACTCTTTAGATATTGTATAGGTCAAACAGCTTTAGTGGGCTATTTATAATGTTATTTCTGTGAAACAGTGTGATAAGCCCCAAAGAATGAAATACTAAGCATATTTTTAGAATACATTTTGTTTCAAGTTGGCAGAATGACAGTCATAAGTGAGGTTTATGGACCATTTCCTAACTTAAAATGAAGTTTGTGGACCATATGCTAAATTAAAAACATGCCTTCTTTGTTTTACCCCTTTAGGAATCAAGAACCAAGTGATCATTTATAACATTCTTTATGCGGAAAATTTGTGTTTCTGATTGCATATCTGCCGTTTTGAAATATAAGCGAGTTGGGTCATTTCCATTTGACCTTCCTCTACCTTTTTCCTATTATCTATTCTAGGCAATATTATAATGTGGTGCTTCTGTTTTTAAAATCTACCCCCTTAAAATTATTCTTATCTGTTTATCTTCTAGGAAAGGAACGTAGAAGCTGTAAGAAATGCAAAAGATGAGCGTGTTCGGGAAATTAGGAATGCAGTGGAGATGATGATTGCACGGTTAGACACACAGCTGAAGAATAAACTTATAACACTGATGGGTAAGTGTTTTTGTATGCTGTTGGAGTACCTGGTGCTTTCATCTTCTTTGAGATTCAATCTTTGAAGAGGAAGGGTGGTGATCCTAGGAAGGAATCTTGAGATTTTAGGCAACTCCATGTTGTTTAGACAGTTTAGACAGATAAATGTTTGACTTGTATTTAGAAATGGTAGGAGATAAAAGTTTTCATAGCCATTTGGATGAAAATCCAAGTTTTCATAGCCATTTGGATGAAAATCCTAATGGCCACTGGGCATTATTGTTAGGTAGCTTTTTCTCCAAATCTAACAGAATTCCTTCTACTAATGTTCCATATCCTTTCCATCTGTTTTCATTGAGGATGAAGAAACTGACATTTGTAAATACCAGCGTCATCCCCTGCCAGTTTTTTCTTAGAGATTTAAAGTCTCAGCTTTTGATTTCTAGTAGGGTTCATTTTACATATGTTTAATTATATTTATTGGTGATCTTTTGCTTTTTAAAGATTCCTTCATTCTTCTTTGATTGTGGAGCCTGGTATTAAACTTAAAATTTAAGTAAAAATTTGATCCAATGCTATAGTTTGTTTTGTTTGATTTGTTTTGGTGATCTTAGTCTTTCCAGTGTTTTGCTGACTGAAACCAGCTTTGCATTTTATTTAGCATAGTCCAAAGTGAAATATATATACTTTAAATAAGGTGTGAACAAAGAATTTTTTTTTTGGCTGTCTTGATTCTCCGAAGAGTTTAGCCATGTCTTTGTGTCATCCAAAATAATGATTTTATCCATTTTATTTTTAACATTTAAAAAACGAGATGTAAATATCTTTGAGTTTGTATATTTGTATATCATTTCATAAATTGCTTTTCTATTATAATACTATACTATTTAATATCTGATTTTTAGTTTTTTTCCCACAGACCAGGCAATTAGACAAAACCTGTAGGTATTGATTATACTGGTCACAATGCCACTTAAAGATTTCATGTAAATGAAAATCGTAATTGTGCTTAGGTCCTCAGTTGCAGTCATACATGTAGGTGATCTTAGTTTTTCAGAACTTTAGATAATATTTGAGATCCCTTTAAGTTCATTAAGCCATGTAGAGTGCTGGATGTTGATACATATTAGGACTTTAAAATTGAGGGGATCTTGAATGTTGATGTAATCTTCAGTAGTAGCCAGATACACATTTGCATATGGTGTTGTTTTTCTTGAGTGAATTTGTTCATTGCTTCATTTATTTAATTGAATCAACTAAAAGCTAAATAATACCACAGTACAGATCTCATAAGTTTATTAATTTTGCTACCTGTATAACTCCGTGAAATAACTTCCCTTTACAATAACTGAACTTGCCCTGCTTTTGTGGCTTTCAAATTATTTTTCATTATGAAAAATTATAATTTGTGATTTCCAAGATAGCTTTTATGATTAAATAGGATTCTTTCTAAGGTTAAGAGGTGGGGAGAAGGATATTTTCAGGGTTAGTATATCTTTAGAATAGTCTCATAAGCCTCAGATTTTTAATTCATACCGTAATATCTGCCACTAATTTATTATTATTAGTATTAGTATTATTATTATTGAGACGGAGTCTCGCTCTGTCATCCAGGCTGGAGTGCAGTGGTACTATCTCAGCTCACTGCAACCTCCGCCTCCCGGCTTCAACGGCAATTCTCCCCGCCCTGCCTCAGCCTGCCACCGAGTAGCCTGGGACTCAGCAGGCACGTGTCACTAGGACCTTGGCTATTTTTTTTTTATTTTTAGTAGAGATGGCGGGGTTTCCCCAAATGTTGCTAGGTGGTTCTTGAACTCCTGACCTGAAGTGATCCACTCTGCCCCCACCTTCCCAAAGTGCTGGAATTACAGTGTGAGCCACCAGCAGAACCTGGCCCCTCGTCACTAATTTTTTTTTTTTTTTTTTTTTTTTTGAGGATGGAGTCTCACTCTGTTGCCCAGGCTAGAGTGCAGTGGCAAGATCTCAGCTCACTGCAACCTCTGCTTCCCAGGTTCAAGCGATTCTTCTGCTTCAGCCTCCCAAGTAGTTGGAACTACAGGCACATGCCACCACACCCTGCTAATTTTTGTATTTTTAGTAGAGGCAGGGTTTTACTATATTGGCCAGGGTGGTCTCAAACTCCTCACCTTGTGATCCGCCTGCCTTGGCCTCCCAGAGTGCTAGGATTACAGGCGTGAGCCACCACCCCTGGCCTCTGCCCCTCATTTTTAAGTTTAATTATGTACTGTAATGTGGTCCATAGGCTAATGTTTTAGGATTGTGGGATGTGGAGATAGTAGAATTTATGTCTGATAATACTAGATTCTAGCTAATACTTTAACTCTTTTTGCAATCTAGAAATTCTGAGTTTTATTTCAAAAATAAAAGTTCTAGGCTGAGGCAGGTGGATCTCTTGAGCCCAGGGGTTCAAGACCAGCCTGGGCAATGTGGCGAAACCCCATCTCTACCAAAAAAAAAAAAAAAGAAGAAGAAGAAGAAAAATTAGCGAGGTGCGATAGCATGCTCCTGTAGTCCCAGCTACGCGGGAGGCTGAGGTGGGAAGCTCACTTGAGCCTGAGAGGTGGAGGTTGCAGTGAGCCAAGATCGCGCCACTACAATCGAGCCTGGGCGACAGAATCAGACCCTGTCTCAAAAAATAAATAAAGTCCGGACTCCTTGGCTCATGCCTGTAATCCCAGCACTTTGGGAGGTCGAGGCAGGCAGATCATTCTCAGGTTGGGAGTTCGAGATCAGCCTGACCAACACGGAGAAACCCCGTCTCTACTAAAAATACAAAATTAACCGGTCATGGTGGCACATGCCTGTAATCTCAGCTACTCAGGAGGCTGAGGCAGGAGAATCACTTGAACCTGAGAGGCGGAGGTTGCGGTGAGCTGAGCTGGCGCCATTGCATTCCAGCCTGGGCAACAAGAGTGAAACCCCATCTCAAAAAATAAATAAAATAAAAGTTCTACCTATTAAATGTTTTTTCTTATCAAATAACACAACAGATTGATAAAACTTTTGCTATCCTCATGGATATACTTCCAGTTTTTCAAATTTTGGGTTTATAAAGAAAATGGCCTGATTTGGTAAGCATACCTATCTTCTTTTTGTTTAAAAACATGTAAAGCATTTTCTTCCTTTTCTGTAATGATAATTTCTGTAATGATAAATTTTTTGTTTGTAATTTGAGACAGGGTCTCACTCTGTTGCCCAGGCAGGACTGCAGTGGTGCGATCAAGGCTCACTGCATGACTACATGCAGCCTTGACCACCTGGACTCAAGCGATTCTCATGCCTCAGCCTCTTGAGTAACTGGGACTGCAGGCATGCACCGCCACTCTTGGCTAATTTTAATTTTTTTGTAGGGACTGAGTCTTACCATGTTGCCTAGGCTGGTCTCAAATACCTAGGCTCAAGTTATCCTCTTGCTTTGGCCTCCCAAAGTGCTGGGATTACAGGCATGAGCCACTGACCCCCGGCAGTAATAATTTGTTTATCCTTTTCTGTCTCCAACTCTTTGAGATTATTCACCTCTCTGGGAATTTTTTTTTTTTAAACAGGTCCTTGTATATTCACAGGACAGACCTTTTGCTGACATTTAACCTAAAACTCTGGCCCACTTTGTATTCTCTGTTAAGCCACAGTTAAATTTGGTGAAAAATTATTTCAGAATAACTGACTGAATGAAATTCATGTTATTGCTTCTTCCCAAGGGAATATGAAAATCTAGAAAAGTAAATTTTTTGCGTAAAGTATATTGTCATTGCACATTTCATTTCTTAGATAAATTCAGTCTAAGTGATAATCTTCTCTAAAACTAATTAGAATTGGTTCTGAAGTTCCATTTTCAAGGCTACTATAATATTCAACCTCTGAAAGTTGAATGAGAATTTTTAGGGTAGCTGTAATGAGGAATTTTTGCTTACTTGAAGTGTATTTCTTGTTATCAAATATGTTCATTGGAAGTTAATTTCATTCTTAAACCAGTAATGAGCCCAAGTGTTGATGATTCACTATTTTTAATCAGGTCAGAAGACATCTCTAACCCAAGAAACAGAACTTTTGGAATCCTTACTTCAGGAGGTGGAGCACCAGGTGATGAAATATTAAATGTAATGAAATAGTCTTTATCCTTTTTTCTCTGTATACTATAAAAGTTTTGGGTTTTTTTTGACAGAGATTATCTGTTTGAGATCAAAAGATCTGTTGATCTTTGTGTTATAATGGAGATTTTTATGAAATAGGAATCAGCTGATTCTTCTCAAGTTTTTTCTTCATGTTTGGGAACCGCATTAGAACTATATTCTGCTTTGTAAGAACAGAATTGTTTCCATAGAAATCTGAATGTATAAGAGGTTAAAATCTCCCCACACTGTGGGGATATTATTGCCAGTTACTTTACATCTAGTGATTATTACGCTAAAGTTTAGCATTTTTATTTATTGAGGAAATATTAAGTCCTAAATAGATAGAGGCATCATTGTAAATATTGGTGATACAGCAGTGAACAAAGTGGCAAAATTCTGTCCTCATAGAGTTTATATTTTAGATTAGGGTGGGTGAATATGAAGTATATAGTAAATGAGTACATAAAATATATAGTGTTGCATAAGTATTTGATATATTCACTTGTCTGAAATTTGCTTTTTGTAATTTCTCTCTATGCCTTATACACAGCTATCTCCTGAGATTTTTATCTTAATCATTCTGGGGACTCCCTTGACATCTTTCTTGTGTTGAATCCCATGTTTCCTGATTCCTCTGGTATCTACTTTCTTGGTTTACTTGTTTTGTTTTAATATCCCACTTCCCTCAGTAGCTTTCCAGGAAGGGTAATCAGAACACATTTTTCTTGACTACATTGTCTGGAAATATTTTAATTTTATTTTTGTACTTGATTGACAATTTAGCTGGTAGAATTCAGCACATAAATATTTACTAAATACTCTTATTTTTCTTCATTATCCCCAATCTTTTTTCCTTTTCCTTTTTACACACATACATGTATATCTGTGTGGTATTGGCCCCAGGACCTTAATGGATACCAAAATCCTCAGATACTCAAGTCCCTTATATAAAATGGCATAGTATTTGCATGTAACCTATACACATCTCCCATATATAGAGTGTCAAATTATGACCTTTTAGTCAATGACAGACTGCATATGTGACAATGGTCCCATAAGATTAAAATGGAGCTGAAATATTTCTGTTGCCTAGTGGTGATGTCTAATGACATCATAGCCATTGTAATGTAGTAGCACAAAGCATTAATCACGTGTTTATGGTAATTCTGGTGTAAACAAACATACTGCGCTGCTAGTTGTATAAAAATATAACACACATAATTATGTATAGTATGTAATACTTGATAAGTATGATAAACAACTATGCTACTGGTTTATGTATTTACTATACCATACCATTCATTATTCTAGAATATATTCTAGCGTTTACTCCTACTTTTTAAAAAAAAGTTGTCTATATTCCAGAAGAAGACATTGTTAGCATTGTAGATCCATAGATGGTAGTACCCCTGAAGACCTTTCAATGGGACAAGATGTGGAGGTGGAAGGTGGTGATACTGATGATGCTGACCATGTGTAGGCCTAGGCCATTGTCTTAGTTTTTAACGAAACAGTATTGGGATTGGGTGTACGCCTGTAGTCCCAGCTACTCAGGAAGCTGAGGTGGGACGATTGCCTTAGCCCAGGAATTCAAGGCTGCAGTGTGCTATGATTGTACCTGTGAAAAGTCACTGCACTCGCCTGAGAAGTATAGCAAGACCTATCTGTTTAAAAAAGTAAACAAATAGGCCAGGCGTGGTGGCTCATGCCTGTAATCTCTGTACTTTCAGAGGCCAAGGTGGGCAGATAATTGAGTGAGTTCAAGATCAGCTTGGGCAACATGGCGAAACTCCGTCTCTACTAAAAATACAAAACTTAGCTGGGTGGGGTGGCACATGCCTGTAGTCCCAGCCACTTGGGAGATTGAGGCATGAAAATTACTTGAACCTGGGAGGCGGAGGCTTACATTGAGCCGAGATCGTGTCACTGCACTCCAGCCTGGGCGACAGAGTGAGACTCTGTCTCAAAAAAAAAAAAAAAAGTAAATAATATTAACTGAAAAATGTAGGCTACATGTTTATATAGCCTGTTAGTGTTTATGTAAAGTTTGAAAACATTCAAAACATTGTTTATGGATATATGTACACACATAGTAATTGCAGAACCACATGTATGGTGATAATAAACTTCTGTTGAAGGGAGCAAGTTGCTTTTGGAAGAAATGGTGTCAAGGAAGGATATACACAGTAAGCATTCAATTAATATAAGTTAAAATTTTTTGTATTATGTGTGTATGTATGTACATATACACAGTGATTTTAAGCATACCTTAAAAATCTTAAGCAAACAGTTCAAATAACTTTAGATCACTTTATGTAAATTGTTCAAAAAACCGTAATGTCTTGGGCAATGCCTGACACATAATAATATGAATGACAAAATATGCAGCTGTTTGTTGTTTTCTGCTGTTACCACTTACCGTTACGTCATTGATTGATGCAGTAACTCAAACATGATATCATTATTCTTTGTAACTATAAACTTTGATGTATAGCATATGATGTATGATACTTGTTTTTTTTCTTAAGACAGAGTTTTGCCCTGTCGCCCAGGCTGGAGTGCAGTGGCGTGATCTCAGCTCACTGTAACCTCCACCTCCTGGGTTCAAGCAATTCTTGTGCCTCAGCCTCCTGAGTAGCTGGGACTACAGGCACACGCCACCACGCTGAGCTAATTGTTGTATTTTTAGTAGAGATGGAGTTTCACCGTGTTGGCCAGGCCTTGAAGTCGCCAGGTCATGAGGTCTTGAACTCCTGACCTCAAGTGATCCACTTGCCTCAGCCTCCCAAAGTCCTGGGATTACAGGTGTGAGCCACTGTGCCCAGCCATATGATACATTATTTTTGGTGAGCCATAAGAAACTGTTATTTAAAAGATATAAACTCAACTGTAGGTGGGTTTTATGAATATCATTCGTATGGCATTTGATAGTATATTAGTTTGCTAGACCTGTCATAACAAAATACCAGTGACTGTGGGACTTAAATGTAGAAATTTGTTTTCTCATTATCCTAGGAGCTGGAAGTGTAAGATTCAGGTGTTGGCAGGTTTTGTTTCTTCTGAGGTCTGTCTCCTTGACCTGTAAACGACTGCCTTCTTACTGTGTCCTCATGTGGACTTTTCTGTGTGATTGTGCAGCCCTAGAGTCTCTTCTTCTTAATAAGGACACCAGTCATGTTAGATTAAGGCCCTACCCCAGTGGCCTCATTTTAACATAATCACCTCTTTAAAGATTATCTCCAAATAGATTGAGGTACTGGAGGTTGAGCCTGCAGCATATAAATTAATGGAGGAAAGGGGCACAAAATTCAGCACATGACAGTTTACAAAGCTTTTTCACTATAGCTTCATAATCCTTATAACAAACTTAATGAAGTAAGCAGTGGTGGATATTACTATTTTATTTTCGTATGTAAACAGACTCAGAGTCGTGTAATTAGTGGCAGAACTAGGACTTAACTTCAAACTGGTTTTTTTGAAGAAAAAATTAGTAGTCTTGTCTTTTATCTACCATGATTGTTACTGAAGTGAGATTTGTTACTTTTTCCCAAAGTAGTGTTTCCCAAATTAGTATCAGATGGTTTGTGTGTGTGCGTGTGTGTGTGTGTGTACACACGGGTGTATGTGTGTACGTTTTGTATTCTGTTACCTAGAATACAACCTGAGAAATGATTGCTTTTAAAAGCTTTCAACTTGGCCGGGCACGGTGGCTCACACCTGTAATCCCAGCAGTTTGGGAGGCTGAGGCGGGTGGATCACGAGGTCAGGAGTTCAAGACCAGCATGACCAACATGGAGAAACCCAGTCTCTACTAAAAAATACAAAAATTAACCGGGTGTGGTGGCACACACCTGTAATCCCAGCTATTCAAGAGGCTGCGGCAGGAGAATCGCTTGAACCCAGGAGGCGGAGATTGCAGTGAGCCGAGATCGTGCCACTGCACTCCAGCCTGGGTGACAGCGAGACACTGTCTCAAAAAAAAAAAAAAAAAAAAAGAAAAGCTTTCAACTTACAGGTTTGTTCATTAATATATTCATAAGAACTTAACTGTACCAGCCTGAAAATACATTTGTACTTGCTTAAAACCTCACTTATCCTAGAATGTAAGGAGAGAAAAATGCATTAATATTAAGTATATTCAGTGACTTTACTAAAATGTAAGGAGAGAAAATGCATTAATATTAAGTATACTTATTCAGTGACTTTACTGTTAGAATATTGTAGAAATAAACCTAGATTCTTTGTAGATTCTTAATTCTCAAGCTCACTTTGAGTTATTTTTCTCAGTGTTTTCAGTTTATAATCAGAATAATTTGTAATTAAGAATTTTGAGGTGGCAGTGAATAGTGATTTTGTTTGTTCAGATAATTTTTTTCTTCACACAGTTGCGGTCTTGTAGTAAGAGTGAGTTGATATCTAAGAGCTCAGAGATCCTTATGATGTTTCAGCAAGTTCATCGGAAGCCCATGGCATCTTTTGTTACCACTCCTGTTCCACCAGACTTTACCAGGTATGACACAGTTTTTAATTTCATTTTCATTTGAAATTTATGTGGAAATGCATATACTTTTTTCAAAAGAATGTTTTTTTTTTTTTAAATGCCATCTCTCTGTCTCTCTTTTCTTTTATAGCTAGGGTCTCACTTGTTGCCCAGGCTGGTCTCAAACTCCTGGACTCAAGTAATCCTCCCACCTTGACCTCTCAAGTTACCAGGGATCATAGACATGAGCCACCACACTTGGCTACTCCATAGCTTTTTAAGGTCTTGTTATAATGGAGTGGTCTGGTGAGCTCTGTTTTATACATACAAATCTAGTTCTCCTGAAAAGTCTCACAGACTTATACTTTTGACTGTTAAGAGAAAATGATAATGAACTAGGAATCATTTTTTTTCCAAGAGCTCCATCTTCCATAGTATAGAAAAAAATAATTGATTACATTAGCTTCATCAGTGTACCTTTTAAATTAAACTATATCTTCTAACACAAAACTCAGAAACTGATGAAATGCCAAAAGAATTTGAAGGTGATGCCATGTTACCTCCAGATCCTAAAAGATAGAGAGAGGAAATAATTATGGCAAAAAGTATCCTAGTTTTCATCTTGGGCTAAACCTTAGAGTTTTTCTGAACAGCATACTCCTTCAAGCATGTTTGTAATTATTCTGTGGTATTAGACTGGTGGTTTCTGACTAGCTGTTGGAATCACTTGGGATTTGGCTGAAAATTAATCAGTGCTGGGTCATACCATACCCTAGGCCATTTGAAAGAAAATCTTTGGGTGTATATTAGTCTACTTGGGCTGCCATAACAAAATACCACATACTGGGTGCCTTAAACAACAGAAATGTGTTTTCTCACAGTTTGAGAGACAAGAATTCCAAGATCAGGATGTCAGAAAATTCACTTTTTTGCTTCAGCTTGCAGACAGCTGCCTTCTTTCTGTGTCCTCACCTGACCTTTTCTCTGTTCTTGCTTGGAGAGAGATCAGTCTCTGGTGTCTCTTTCTCTTTTTATGAGGCCACGAGCCTTATTGTATTAGACCCACTATTATCAACTCATTTAGCCTTAATTATCTTCCTACAGGCCCTATCTATAGACACAGTCACATTGGGGGTTAAGGCTTTAACATGGGAATTTTGGGAGAGACAATTAAGCCTGTGACATTGGGTTCAAATGGACATATCAGTTTGTTCTTTTAAAATCTCCTTAGCTTATTCTAAGATGAGGGGTGAAGCCACTGCTTCAGATAAATATTTTGGTGTGACAGGCTTTATCTTATAGAGATGACTTATGGAATACTATCAAGTTTTCCTACCATGGTGAGGGCTGTGGCACATTTAGAAAACAGCCTTTGTTATAAAAATGTTTACATGTTGAGCTGCCTTTTCTTTTTCTTCTGATATGTGATGCCCTCTGATGACCACAGAGCATTCATTGTACTATTTTATTTTTTATTTTTTTAATTTATTATTTTATTTACTTATTATTATTTATACTCTGTCACACTCTGTTGTCCAGGCTGGAATGCAGTGGCGTGATCTCGGCTCACTGCAACCTCCACCTCCCGGATTCAAGCAGTTCTTACACCTCAGCCTCCTGGGTAGCTGGGAATATAGGCATGCACCAACATGCCTGGCTAAGTTTTGTATTTTTAGTAGAGACGGGGTTTCTCCATGTTGGCCAGGCTGGTCTCAAACTCCTGACCTCAAGTGTTTTGCCTGCCTCAACCTGCCAAAGTGCTGGAGATTATAGGTGTGAGCCACCATGCCTGGCTGCGTTCATTGTACTAGAGTATATCGTTTAAGCCAGGGCTTTTCAATCTTGGCATTGTTGACATTTTGAGCAGAATAATTATTTGTGGGGTGGGGTGAGCTTTCCTGTGTTTCATAGGATGTTTAGCAGTATCCCAGTAGCACTCCCCACCCCACCACCTTGCAGTTATGACAAAAATGTTTCCAGACAGTGCCAAATGTCCATGGGGACAAAATCACCCCTGGTTGAGAATCACTGTTATAAGCCCTTCTTACTCGTTATAGATGCCACAGTCCTATAAACAGAAGGACAAAGTTTTTCTGACAGCTAGAACTCCGGTGGTTCTCATTGACCAGTAGAAGTCTTCCTTTCTTTCTGATTAACAACCTTATAAAATATTCATATATTTTTAAAGCACTGACTTTTTTGTTTAAATCTCTATTTCTGAATGAAAGCACTCAATATTATTAAAAGGACTAGGTTTTTGCTGCCATTAAGTAGACTTGGTTGGAGAATGTTCATCAAAATCCCTAGGATGCCTCACTGATAGTGTGGCCAGCTATTTCAGTTTTCAAGATATGTTTTCTGAACCATTTCATCACTTGTGGAATGAAACAGATTTTGACCTAAGGGTCATATATAAAAATTAGTGTTTTTCAATTCAAAGTGTAGTGCATGGATGACCTAAGTCACAGCTATGTGTGGCATTTGTCTGAAATGCAAATTCCCAGGCCAACTTTCCCAGAATCTTTAGAGGTGGTATTCAGAAATGTGTCTTGAGCACTGTAAGTAATAATAATGCACTAAAGTTTGGGAATCATTGGTGGATGTAAATTCCCATTCTTATACCACTTTCAGCAGCTCATCAGGCAGGCAACAATGCTCACTAGTCTGTTAATTAAGCACTTTTAGGGCCTTCTCTCTTTCTCCAGTAATGCTCACTACCTTATTGGAAACTTTGGCTTTTAGTTAATTCTCATTAGAAACCCATTTTATTAGTTGCAACATACAGGAAAAGAGGGCCAAATAAGAAAGGCCAGCATTCGTGACGTTAAGTTACACACCAAAGTTTAGATGTGCAAAGCAGTGGTATTTCTATTGCTTTTAGTTCCATCAGTTAGTAATTGGTGATGGAGCCACAATGGAGAAGAAAAGGTCACTAAATCAGTGAAGTGTTGTTTATTAAAGACCATGTGCCCAGTATTGTTGCAGGTGCTGCATGGGAGAAGAGGAACTAAAAATCTTACTGTGGGCCGGGCGCAGTGGCTCACACCTGTAACCACAGCACTTTGAGAGGCTGAGGCAGGCAGATCACCTGAGGTCAGGAGTTTGAGACCAGCCTGACCAACATGGAGAAACCCCGTCTCTACTAATAATACAAAATTAGCCAGGCGTGGTGGCGCATGCCTGTGATCCCAGCTACTCAGGAGGCAGAGGCAGAAAAGAAAAAAAAAAAAAGATAAAATAGTAGAGCTCTCGGTTCGTAGACAGTTTTATGTTTCAGGGAGAAATAGTCAAGTTGGTAAGGAGAACCAGTTTTTATATAGTTCAGGAGTCTTATTTCCTTAAGGAAAAAATGGATACTTGTGGTTCTCCCTTTTTTCCCTTTGTTCATGAAATTATGATGAGGTTACTGGTCTGAAGATTTGCAGATCAGTGACTTCCAGGTTACTGGGCTAGAGATGGTTTGAGGCTAGTTTCCCGTATTCTTTGAAGACAAAGATTCACTGACACCATCATGAGATGAATCCAGTCATCATAAAGACCAGAGCAGTCTACACTTCTGAAAGAGGAGGAGAAAATTTTAAAACTATGAAAAGATAAAGCAGTGCCTCATCTGCAGCCACAGAATGGTAACATCAGTATGACTGAAGATAACCTCTAAATGAATGAGCATAATATGGAGAGGTGGTGGTAGAATTAGATGGCCTAGCAGTAGCAATAGCTTTGTGTGTAAATATAAAGAATGCAAAATCGGTGAGCCAAGATCACGCCACTGCACTCCAGCCTGTGTCACAGAGCAGGACTCCGTCTCAAAAACAAAACAAAACAAAAAAAAAGCAAAATAATTTCTTTTGCGAAAGAAATTTTTGAGCAAATATTTCCAACTCTATGAATCTGCCAGCAAGTATTTGTAAATATTCATTCAGTGAATATATATGCCAGCTATATTTTAGGCATGTGTTAAGTGCTAGCAGTAAGCATAATACAGACCTCTTTGGATTTATAATTATGATTTAGAAAAACAGATTATTGGAACATTAATAAAATTAATGTGGTAACTGGTGATAGGGGAAGTAAATATCCTGTTTAATGCTGCCCCATACCACTAATTTGTCATTATACTATTTGTGTCCAAAAGGTTTTCCATAGGAAAATGTACATATGTGAAAGTATATCACAGTACCAGTTTTCTGTGCTCTGAATATGGTCATTTTCTCTTAGCAAGTGAGACTAGGGTAAACTGGACTGTACCCTCTTGGTTCATGAGTATTAGTAACTTGTGCTTTTTAGCCTGAAAGCTTTCTACTTCACCATTCTGAGTTGAAAATGGCATCTCCTGTTGTTTATTTTGTGTTCTGCTGAACTCTTTTGACCCTTAATGGCCAATAAAATATGATAATGATAGTCTGGACTTAGAGCAGAAATAACAGTAACAACAACACAGGAAATAAATCACACTGAACGTGGCAGAAGAAATAGTATGCAGATTAGCAGGCAACTGGGGATTGATTAAAGTCTTTGCATGTGGAGGATATTCTGTACTTGGTAAGAGACGTGATTGAAAGTTGCACAAAATTACAAAAGCATGTCAAATTTGAAGACTATACTGGGAAAGCTCCCTTAGAGCTCTTACTATGTTTATGGTTCTAGAAAGGCTTCCTAGGCACTAATTGCATTGGCCCTGCTAAATGGGGTTTGTGTATATTGAGTGCTAGGAGATCATACAATGGGAAGACCTTAGAGTAAACCTCCAAGAGCATGTGACTTCTAATCTGTTATCTGAAAAGATAGTAAGGGTTAACCAGGCAAAAGGATATGGGGATGAGGAATGTGAGTCTTCTAAGGAGGGATAACAACTGACTAGAGATATCATAGGGATTCTTGACATAGTCAATTTGGATAGTAGCTATACAGTTAATCACATGGCAAAGTACATCTACTTACCGTTTAAAAGATGTGACCTATTTAGCTATACGTACTTACACTAAAATAAAGAATTATTTATCTATATTGTATTGCAAGCCATTAATTTCTTTAGACACTATCACAGTGTGGCAGTGCTGTAGGTGTATCTTTTATCTTGTTTTGATAATAACCAAAATTATGATGAATTGAACTTTAGAAAATATACCTGAAGATGTGGTGAAATGGTTTGCAGTTTATTGTTTTGGTAAATTTGTAATTTTATATATCAAATTCATAACACTGTATTAAAACTGTATGATAGTCTTTTTCATAGTGTTTTAATGAATTTTGAGGTGTTCTAATGACAGTGTACAAACCATCCACATGATTAAAGGTAGTTAGCAGCAAAGTGACGTTTAGTCCATACTGTGATTATAATGCAGTTCTCTTTGAAGAAGATTGGATGGGACTAAAGTTGCTTGAAGTAGTTTTGACTTGCCAAGAAAATGTTAATGTGCTAGTCCCTCACAGTTGCCCCTTAGGTAATGAGGTGTTCATCCTATAAAAATGTATAGATTTATTTACTAGTAAATAGTTTCAAAGTATTTGAAGTCTGTTAATATTTCCCATAATTCATTCCAAAAAAGGAACTTTGGGGATTAACTGTGATATCGCTGACTGTTGGTTCTTTTCATTTTTTAAAGCATGTTTATATCTGTTTCATAATTCAGATACACACCCTAAGTGTCAATTTCTTTTTCCCATTTCCATGAGTACTTTTAAAGTGTATTTCTAGTACTTACTTTAATAATTAATTACATAATGTATTGCCTTTTTTAAGGGAAAAAAACGTTTATAAAATATTTCTTGATTTATTGATTGAGACAGAGTTTGGCTCTGTTGCCTTTGTTGGAGTGTGGTAGTGCAATCTCGATTCACCGCAACCTCCGCCTCTAGGGTTCAAGCGATTCTCGTGCCTCAGCCTCCCGAGTAGCTGGGATTGCAGGGGCGCACCACTACATCTGGGTAATTTTTGTGTATTTTTAATAGAGATGGGGTTTCACCATGTTGGCCATGCTGGTCTTGAGCTCCCGACCTCAGGTGATCCACCCACCTTGGCCTCCCAGAGTGCTGGAATTATAGGCGTGAGCCACCTCGCCCAGCCAAAAAACTTTTATAAAGTATTTGTATTTCTGATTTAATTGCATACATGATGGTTTTATGAAGTCATTTGATTTAATGTTATGTTCAATAAAGATTTAAAAATATTTCTTAGATTTTAGTTTAATAAAGTTTTTAAGATACTACTGAGGGACTTGGTTTTTTTAGGTAAATGGAATTTTAAACATATAAGCTAAATAATTATTTTTGTCTTTGCTTTCTTTTAGTGAATTAGTGCCATCTTATGATTCAGCTACTTTTGTTTTAGAGAATTTCAGGTAAGAGTTTTGACAATTCTGGTTTTTTGTAGGTGTATATAAGGAAGAGCCAGGAAGGTATTCTTTGGTAAGACAGTAATCTAGTGAATTGTGTCACTCACTTTAGAAGTCTTAGAAGAATAAGTTTCTTATTAGAAACATAGAGATTATTTGTGCTCGATTTTATTGTATCTTTAGACTGACTGCTTCTCTAGTCTGGGAAAAGGAACCTTTTCTTTTTATTTTGAGACAGGGTTTTGCTCTGTCACCCAGGCTGGGGTGCAGTGGCATGATCATTGCTCACTGCAGCCTCAACCTCCTGGGCTGCAGCAATCCTCACACCTCAGCCTCCCAAGTAACTGGGACTACAAGCATGTGCCACCACACAGATGGGGTCTCACTGTTTCCTAGGCTGGTCTCAAACTCCTGAGCTTCAGTGATTCTGATTCTCCCAACTCAGCCTCTCAAAGTGCTGGAATTATAGACATTAGCTGTGGTGGCCAAAGTGAGTATACTGCCCAAAGTGAGGAACCGTTTTAAATAAGAGAGATCACTTAGCTTTGGCTAAGGTGAGGGGCCGAACAGTTAGAGGTTGATGAGCCCCCACTTACCCATTGTCAGAAATAAAAGTAGTGGGAAGAAATCCATTGAGATCCATTTATCTCAGCTCAAAGTGAAGAATTGTGGATAGGGGCCATTATTGTAAGAAATTTGTCAGTTATGTGTTAATTTTGTTTGCTTTTACTACTTTTTCTCTAAGATCAGAAGTGAAGATCATAACATGCAAAGGTTCTTAGCAATTTGTCTTTGAGGGCAGCATGGAAATGGAAACAAGTAATATAAGGTCTTCAGGAGAGAAACTCCAAATAATAGGCAAAGACCATCAAAATAAGGCCACACTGGGCAGGGCATGGTGGCTCACGCTTGTAATTCCAGCACTTTGGGAGGCCGAGGCAGGTGGATCATCTGAGGTCAGGAGTTCAAGACCAGCCTGGCCAACATGATGAAACCCCGTCTCTACTAAAAATACAAAAATAAGTTGGGCGTGGTGGTGGGCGTCTGTAATCCCAGCTACTTGGGAGGCTGAGGCAGGAGAATCGCTTGAAACCGGGAGGTGGAGGTTGCAGTGAGCCGAGATTGTGCCACTGTGCTTCAGCCTGGGCAACAAGAGCAAAACTCTGTCTCAAAAAAAAAAAAAAAAAAAAGCCACACAGAATTTATCCCTCTTCCCATTTAATTTGTCTTTTCTCATGGGATACTTTTGTGGCTAAAACATAGTCTTTCTGAGGTTTTTCCCACATTTATTAAGGTTTAGTGTACTCTCGTTTTTCAATGTTAAAAGATGACTATACTGCAGAGAAGTGAGGAAGAAACCTTCTGGGTTTTATTTTTAATGGTGAAAGACTGCTTGTTGAAGCATTAATTAAATTTGGGAGACTTAGTGATATATTCCTTTTCCCTTAAATGTCACAATTTTGAGGGATTTTTTTTCCCCTGAAACTTAAAAGATATTGCTGAATATTTCAGTATTTTTAAATTCTCTTTATTTCAGAATGTAAGCATATCTAAACTTTTACAGTGGAATTTTGACTTGATAGTCACCTTGTTATTTGTCTAAGATTTCAAATATGTAGCAAAGAAACTGGTTGGTCTTTCTTTTTGCCTGTTGCCATTTCACAACAGTTTTGATCTTGGTATTTGGTTGGTTTTCTTTTTCGTTAGCACTTTGCGTCAGAGAGCAGATCCTGTTTACAGTCCACCTCTTCAAGTTTCAGGACTTTGCTGGAGATTAAAAGTTTACCCAGTAAGTTTTTGATGTTTCTAATAAAGTTTGAAACCAATGTCTTTCTTTCAGAGTTCTGTAGTACACTAGTTTGATTACTGAGAACTGTTAACTCTTCTTATTTTTTATTCCATATGCTGTCCTCGTTCCCTGTTCCCCTTCTCCCTCCATGTTAGACAACTGTTTGTCCTCACCTAGTTCTCTAATATATTCTGCTGGAAGGCCTATTGGAAACAATATTCCCTGAGTTCTCATATGTTGAAAACAGTTTTTGCCCTTTATATTCTAAGGCTAGTATTGCTGGGTATAAAATCCTTGGCTCATATTTTCTTTCATTGGGTATCTTCAATATGCAATTCCATTTTCTTTAGGAAAAGTGTGATAATAAACTATTTTTCTTTACTTTTAAAGATGTTTGGTGATATTACCTAGATGCTAAATAATCTTTTTGAGTCCAGTAATTTACTATTACACATTTTAGTCCTCCTGGGTTAGTATGCTTAGTTACACACTAAAGTCTTTCAATATGTAGTTTCAGATTTTTTTTTTTAAGAAAAGTTTTGTATAATGGGATTATACAATAATATATAATCTTTTGTGTCTGGCTTTATTCACCTAGCCGATGATTCATTTATTCATTGATATCTGTTGAGTGATTATCATGTCAAGCCTCAAAAGTTGCCTCAGGTCGTTTCAAGCAAGGTAGACCAAAAATGAAGGGGTTAATAGTACTTGTATCCCTCTGTAGTCATGTCCCAGTAGACACTGTAGATGTATAAGGATCTCTGTTCTCAGCCTTCATTGTCTCATTGGGGGAATAGATGTTTAAACAAGTAGTTATAATAAATGTGATTCTTTTAAAACATAGACACCTGAAGTACTAGGGCAATACATAGGAAGTAATTATCTCTTTTTTTAAAAGAGTCTTGCCCAATTAAACAAAAAGGGAGGCCGGGCGCGGTGGCTCAAGCCTGTAATCCCAGCACTTTGGGAGGCCGAGGCGGGTGGATCACGAGGTCAGGAGATCGAGACTGTCCTGGCTAACATGGTGAAACCCCGTCTCTACTAAAAATACAAAAAACTAGCCGGGCGTGGTGGTGGGCGCCTGTAGTCTCAGCTACTTGGGAGGCTGAGGCGGGAGAATGGCGTGAACCCGGGAGGCGGAGCTTGCAGTGAGCTGAGATCACGCCACTGCACTCCAGCCTGGGAGCACAGCGAGACTCCGTCTCAAAAAAAAAAAAAAAAAAAAAAAAAACAAAAAGGGAGTAATTATCTTTATAAAAATAAAATCTATAGTAGAGATTTAAACAACTTCTCAATCTCTAGACAGAATCTTATATGGAATTCTGACATTAAAATCATACAGAAATTGTATTTAATTACTTTCAGCATAGGGTATTACCTTTTTGTATGTTGGTCTTAAAAATTAATTTTTGGTTTAAAATTTTTTTTGCCTCATTTCTAATGAAATTATTTTTCCCATTAGGGTCTTGGTTTTTTGTTAAAGTTGATTTGTGAGAGTTCTATATATGTTAAGACTCTTAACCTTTCTCATGGTTGTTGATATTTCCCTTCATTTCTGTGCCTTAGTAGTTTCGCTTTTTTTTTAATACACAGAAGTTTAAAGTTGTTAAGAACTCAAATCTATTGGTGGTTGTTTTTTTTTTTATTATTTCTTCCATTGCTTTGAGGCTTAGAAGTATTTCTCAATCTAGATATCAGATGTTAATCTGCATTTTGTTTTATTGTGGCTTAATTTTTTTTACACTTCAACTGATTATTCTTCTTTTAGGATGGAAATGGAGTTGTGCGAGGTTACTACTTATCTGTGTTTCTGGAACTCTCAGCTGGCTTGCCTGAAACTTCTAAGTAAGAAGTGTAATTAAATAACAACCTTAATGTGCGTTTACATACATTCCCCCTAGCAATTTTTGCTAATTTATATTTTTGTTAATTACTGTATTGGTATATCTGTTAAGATGTAGAGTAATATGAAATTGTTGGCATCATAGGATGGTATAGATTGGCAGTTCTCAAACTGTTTGGTCTCATACTCTTAAAATTATTGGGAACCCCAAAGAGTTTTTGTTTATATGGATTACATATATTGTTATTTTCTGAGTTGGAACTTAAAACTGAAAAAAATTACATAAAATTTTAATTCACTTTTGAGGTAACAACAAGCCTGTTGCATACTAACATAAATAACATTTTTAAATGAAAAGTAACTATTTTCCTAAAAAAATATATTTTTAAGAAAACTTGTATTGCTTTGTGTTTTTGGAAATCTCTTTACTATCTGGCTTAAAAGAAGACAACTGGATTCTCATGTCTGTTTTTATATTCAATTTTTTAAAAATATCATTTTGATTGAAATACATGTATAAAATCTGGCTGCAGAGTTCTACAACCATCACCAACATCTAATTTTATAACATTCTATTTACGCCACAAGGAATCCCTGTACTCATTATCTGTCACTTCCCATTCCCCCTTTCCTTCAGTCCCTGAGAACCACAAATGTACTTTTTGTCAAGGAGGAATATTTTTTAAAGTGGTTTTAGATAATTGTGGATCTTCTTTGATATTACATCCAAACTGAACAAGTAGTAGGTTGTTAAATGTTATTTATAATGTGGGATCTGGAATCATATTAATGATTTTTTTTTTTTAACTCTGTTACATGAAATCTCTTAGTTTGGTATGGAATGTCTGCTTTCAGCTAACATGAATCAAGAGGGATGAGATCTATGCATTTTCTTGCAACAACCAAAAAAAAACTTGATGAAACATTTTCTAGATACTGGACATGGTGGTAACAAATGAAAACAGTCCCTGAGAGATGAAAAACACAAACCAGCTCTGTGATTTCTCCAGCTTACAGCCTTGAGAGAGTTTTCAGGCTGCAACACAGGGAGGAGCTGGGTTCTACTGAGGTAGAACCTGGCAGACTTAGTTGAGGGGATAGTGCTGAGAGTCTAGAAAGGACAATGCAGCTAGAGCGCATTGGACAAAATACCAGAGAGGAGAAAGCTGCAGAGACTGAAGTCTAGAGATCTGTAATAGGTTCCCCTTGAGTATTCAGCAGAGTACTTATCAGGGCATATGTGTGAGGAAACTACCTGAGATTGGGGAAAGAACTGCCTGACAGGATTAGAGGGAATAGTGATTGCCTGGTGTTCACACGGAGCCAGGAACTGTGTCTGTTGCAACCAACCACGGTGGAGAAATTTGTAATTCATGGGTCATTGGGTATAACGCTAAGGAAGTTTTTGCCTTGATAGCAGAAATTAGCCCTAGACTGAACACTGCTCTGGACCCACCTAACAAAAGTGAGACCTGAAAGGATCAAATTGTTTTCAAGTAACTTAACTGCATCCCGGAAGGAATCTCAAGAAAATTTATAAGGTTGCTGAAGTATCTAACATCCAACAAAGTAAAATTTACAGTGTCTTTTGTTCAGTCAAAGGTTAATATGCCAGACTGGCTGGCGCATACCTGTAATCCCAGCACTTTGGGAGGCCAAGGCGGGAGGATTGCTGAAGACCAGGAATTTGAGACCAGCCTGGGCAATATGGTGAGACCTTGCACACATCTCAGCTACTCAGGAGGTTGAGGCAGGAGGATTGCTTGAGCTCAGGAAGTCGAGGCTGCAGTGAGCTGTGTCTGCACCACTGCACTCCAGCCTGAATGACAGAGTGAGACCATGTCTCAATTTATTTATTTACGTAATGTATTTTGAGTCTCACTTTATCACCCAGCTTGGAGTACAGTGGCATGATCTCAGCTCACTGCAACCTCTGCCTCCCAAGTTCAAGCAATTCTCCTGCCTCAGCCCCCCAAAATAGCTGGGATTACAGGCATGCAACACCACGCCCAGCCAATTTTTGTATTTTTAGTAGAAACGGGGTTTCACCATATTGGCCAGGCTGGTCTTGAACTCTTGACCTCAGGTGATCCGCCCACGTCAGCCTCCCAAAGTGCTGGGATTACAGGTGTGAGCCGCTCTGCCTGGTCAAGAATTCTTTATATATTTTGGATACTAAACCTTTATCAGACATGTGATTTGCAGATAGTTTCTCCCATTTGGTAGGTTGTCTTTTTACTTTCTTGATAATGTCCATTAATGCACAAAAGTTTATAGACTGTGTCTTTGTCTTTTTGTAAACCTGAAAATTTTACAAGATTGGATATATAAATCAGAATATATTGGCTTTCCCAGTGTATACTTCTTTTCTTTTTGAGACAGGGTCTTGCTGTGTCACTGAGGCTGGAGCACAGTGGCACAATTATGGCTCAATGCAGCCTCAGCCTCCTGGGCCCAGGTGATCCTCCTGCCTCAGGCTCCCAAGTAGCTGGGATTACGGGAATGCACTACCATACCCAGCTAATTTTTTTGTTTTTTGTTTTTATGAAGACGGGGTTTCACCATGTTGCCCAGACTAGTCTCAGACTCCTGGGCTCAGGCGATCCACCCACCTCGGCCTCCTGAAGTGCTGGGATTACAGGTGTTAGCCACTGTGTCCAGCGTACTTATTTTCTTTCTCTTTTTCTTTTCTTTTTAACTTTATTTTAGGTTTGGCATTACGTATGAAGGTTTGTTACATAGGTAAACTCATGTCATGGGGGTTTATTGTACAGATTATTTCATCACCCAGGAATTAAGCCCAGTACCTGATAGTTATCTTTTCTGTTCCTCTCCCTTTTTCCACCCTCTACCCTCAAGTATACCCCAGTGTCTGTTGTTTCCTTCTTTGTGTTCGTAAGTTCTCATCATTTAGCTCCTACTGTGTAAGTGAGAACATGTGGTATTTGGTTTTCTGTTCCTGCATTAGTTTGCTAAGGATAATAGCCTCCAGCTCCATCCTTCCATGTTGCACAAAAAACATGATCTCATTCTTTTTTATGGCTGCATACTCATTTTCTTTCTTTTTTTTTTTTTTTGAGACAGAGTCTCGTGCTGTGTCACCCAGGCTGGAGTGCAGTGGCGCGATCTCGGCTCACTGCAAGCTCCGCCTCCCAGGTTCACGCCATTCTCCTGCCTCAGCCTCCGAGGTAGCTGGGACTACAGGCGCCCGCCACCACACCTGGCTAGTTTTTTTTTTTGTATTTTTAGTAGAGATGGGGTTTCACCATGTTAGCCAGGATGGTCTCGATCTCCTGACCTCGTGATCCACCCGCCTCGGCCTCCCAAAGTGCTGGGATTACAGGCTTGAGCCACCGCGCCCGGCCGCATACTTATTTTCTATTAGGAAATTTTATAGCCTTTGATTTTCTGAATACACAATAATTTACTTTGCTATAACTTGTGCTGGAAAAATACAGTAGAGTATTTCAAAATTTGTATTTTAAAATTGCAAGGTGATAAACCTCAAAGGATAATAGAAATAACAGAATATTTATGTATGAGGAAACATGTAGTGAATATAAGGAAAAAATACTGCATTAATAAAACAAAAGCAACTTTGAATTACTTCTTTATTCAAAATTTATTTATGTTTTGAGGTGTTGTTTTATACCTAATATATTGGTAAACATCTTTATGAGGAAAAAAGGACCTAGTGCCATTCATGTTTTGGTGGTTCATTCAAAATACTGCTGTTTTGGTCGGGTGCAGTGGCTCACGCCTGTAATCCCAGCACTTTGAGAGGCCAAGGAGGGTGGATCATCTGAGGTTAGGAGTTTGAGACCAGCCTGGCCAACATTACGAAACCATGTCTCTACTAAAAATACAAAAAATTAGCTGAGTGTGGTGGCGTGCGCCTGTAATCTCAACTACTTGGGAGGCTGAGGCAGGAGAATCACTTGAACCAGGGGGCAGAGGTTGCAGTGAGCTGAGACCCTGCCACTGCCCTCTAGCCTGGGCGACAGTGAGACTCCATCTCAAAAATAAATAAATAAATAAATAAATAAATAAAAACTGCTCTTTTTCTGATTGGGCGTGGTGGCTCACGCCTGTAATCCCAGCACACTGGGAGGCCAAGGTGGGTGGATCACCTGAGGTCAGGAGTTCAAGACCAGCCTGGCCAACATGAACCACCATCTCTACTAAAAATACAAAATTAGCCAAGCATGATACACACCTGTAATCCCAGCTACTCTGGAGGCCGAGACAGGAGAATCACTTGAACCTGGAGTCAGAGGATGCAGTGAGCTGAAATCGCACCATTGTACTCCAGCCTGGGCAACAAGAGTGAAACTCCATCTCAAAAAAAAAGCCCAAAATACTGCTGTTTTTATAAATGATAAAAGAAATGTAATTGCATATATCAATAAGGTTTCCTCTCAGGTGATTACTTAGTGACCTTAATGTTTAGATGAGTTTGTCTTTTATTCTTATTTTACTAACTGTATAGTAATGGTCTGTTTTTCAATTTTAGATATGAATATCGTGTAGAGATGGTTCACCAGTCCTGTAATGATCCTACAAAAAATATCATTCGAGAGTTTGCATCTGACTTTGAAGTTGGAGAATGCTGGGGCTATAATAGATTTTTCCGTTTGGACTTACTTGCAAATGAAGGATACTTGAATCCACAAAATGATACCGTGATTTTAAGGTAATAGGAAAAATTTAATGTTGTGGTTTTTATTGTGGGGAAATAATATCATTGGAACTGTATTTCAAAGATCATTTGGTTAACAAAGATGAATATTGAAATTCATACTAACTATAACCTTATCACTTTCTTAACTGTTTTATTTAAGTGGATAATAATCAAAAATTTGTAGTCAAAAAGTCAAACTTTTTTTTTTGACATCTAGTTAGTAATTTCATTAAAGATATGCTGGGTGCGGTGGTGCGCTGGTGTTTCCATCTACTCTGGAGGCCGAGATGGAAGGATAGATTGGGCCCAGGAGTTTGAGACCAGCTTAGGAAACATAATGAGACCCCCATCTCTTTAAAAAGAAAAAAAAAATGTGTGTAGGGGGGAAACTACAACTTCCAGTAAATATAGTAATGTTCCATTTATCTATTGAACTTCTAGTGACCTCACCGTTTGGAAATCTAAGAATAGTGAGGGATAAAGTGTTGATTTTTTTCACTTCACAGTGCATGTTATATTTGAGTGACTGGTTTTACAACTTAATTTTATAAAGCAGCTATCAGTTCTTTCTGAATAACAGAAAATTAAAAGAAGAATCAAGATGAAAGTTGATGAAAATGAGCAATTTTCTACTTTTTTCTTAAACTTTTATTTTAGGTTCAGGGATACTTATGTAGGTTTGTTATACAGGTAAACTCACATCGTGGTGATTTGCTGTACAGATTACTTCATCACCCAGATACTAAGCCTAGTACCCAGTAGTTATTTTTTCTGATCCTCTCCCTTCCACCCTCAAGTAGGCCCCAGTGTCTGTTGTCTCCCCTCTTTATATCCCTGAGTTCTCATCATTTAGCGCCTTTTTTTTTTTTTTGAGATGGAGTCTCCCTCTGTCTCCCAGGCTGGAGTGCAGTGGCGCAATCTCGGCTCACTGCAAGCTTCACCTCCCGGGTTCACGCCATTCTTCTGCCTCAGCCTCCTGAGTAGCTGAGACTACAGGTGCCCGCCACTGCATCCGGCTAATTTTGTTTTTGTATTTTTAGTAGAGACGGGGTTTCACCGTGTTAGCCAGGATGGGCTCAATCTCCTGACCTCTTGAGCCACCCGCCTCGGCCTCCCGAAGTGCTGGGATTACAGTCCTGAGCCACCGCACCTGGCCCATTTAGCTCTTAAATAATAAGTGAGAACATGTGGTATTTGGGAAAACCATCAATTTTTTTTTTTTTTTTGAGACAGTTTTTCTCTAGTTGCCCAGGTTGGAATGGAGTGCAGTGGTACGATCTTGGCTCCCTGCAGCATTCGCCTCCGAGGTTCAGGCGATTCTCCTGCCTCGGCCTCCTGAGTAGCTGGGATTGCAGGCATGGGCCACCACGCCCGGCTAATTTTGTACTTTTATTAGAGACGGGGTTTCTCCCTATTGGTCAGGCTGGTCTCGAACTCCCGACCTCAGGTGATCCACCCACCTTGGTCTCCCAAAGTGCTCTGATAACAGACGTGAGCCACCACGTCCGGCCAAAACCATCAATTTTTTATTGTTGATTGTTGGTTTAGTATTTACAAGAAAGGACAGAATATAAATACTGACTATAAAACAACAGCCCTATTTAGCCAGGCATGGTGGCTCACGCCTGTAATCCCAGCACTTTGGGAGGCTGAGGTAGGTAGATCACCTGGGGTCAGGAGTATGAGACCAGCCTGGCCAATATGGTGAAATCCTATCTTTACTAAAAATACAAAAATTAGCCAGCCTGTGGTGGCACGCACCTGTAACCCCAGCTACTCAGGAGGCCAAGGCAGGAGAATCGCTTGAACCTGGCAGGTGGAGGTTGCAGTGAACCGAGATTATGCCACTGTACCCCAGCCTGGGCGACATAGCAAGACCCCATCTCAAAAAAAAAAATAATAAAGTAAATAAAAACAACAGCCCTGTTTAACGTGGGGTAGTCTTTACACAGGTCAGAAGTTTTTGGGCATCAGCTGGGCACCGTGGCTCATACCTGTAATCCCAGCACTTTGGGAGGCTGAAGTGGGTGGATCACCTGAGGTCAGGAGTTCAAGACCAACCTGGGCAACATGGTGAAACCCTGTCTCTACTAAAAATACAAAAATTATTTGGGCGTGGTGGTGGGCGCTTGTAATCCCAGCTACTTGGGAAGCTGAGGCAGTTGAATTGCTTGAGCCCGGAAGGCAGATGTTGCAGTGACCCAAGATTTCACTAGTGCACTGCAGCCTGGACAACAAGAGTGAAACTCTGTCTTAAAAAAACAAAAAACAAACAAAAAGAGATGTTTGGGTATCATTACATGATGTTATAATTTGATGATCAAAATGAGAACTTGAATATTTAAAAAGATTAAAATACGTTCGTAACTGAGAAGTTTCAGAGTATTTAGCAGTTTAAAAAGTTCTCATCACAATTTGAAACTCTTTTTTTCTTGAGAGTGATTTAATGTACTCCTAAATTTCCCTTATTCAGAGCTCTTTGTTCTTGAGCATACTGGACAGATCATATCAGCATTTACTCTTAGGTGTTTTCCGTAGCTTTTCTGGAAGTATAAAGAAGTTTAACAAGGGATATGATTTTCAGTGTAGGGAAAAAGATTCATGTTTTTGTTATTGTTTTGTTTTGTTTTGTTTAGAGGCAGTGTCTTGCTATATTGCCCAGTCTAGTCTAGAATTCTTGGGCTCAAGTGATCCTCCTGCCTCAACTTCCCAAGTAGGTGGGATTACAGGTGCATGCCACTGTGCCTGGAATCATGTTTTTTGAAGGGAGAGATTATTTTAGTTATCTTCATATAGCTTTTCAGACTTTTGGGGTTTAATGTTCGCCAAGAGAAGTAATTTATTGCTTTTCATGCTTCAGCCATAGAGAGAATTACAAAATTATTCAACTATCAATTTTACCAACCTACAAAAGACCCATTTTCTTATAGTCTTAGTTTCATCCTTATTACCGTTATATATTAGTACAGAAACAAATTCTTGTTAGGACATCATTTTTTTAAAGCAACATTGAGTCTGTACCATATGCCTGACACTGAGTTGCTAATAAGAAAAATATAGACATGGTTTTTGTCCACAGGGAACTCAAGATGAAATTGGCAGATAAAAAAAGAGTTTACTACACTCTTATTTTAAAATAATGCTATAGTAGCACCATAAGTAAATTGCTATGAAATTCGTGGATAGGGAGCTTCTCATTATCGTATTATATTTATTTATTTAATGAAACATTGCTCAAACTTTAAACCTCATTTAGTTCAAGATTCTGGTGGAACTTTATTAGAAAGTTATTTAAGGCTTTTCTGTAACTATGAATATATATTTCATTCTTTCATTAAAACAGAAAGTTAAGAAAATTTACCTGCTGCTTGGTTTTGTTTTAATGGCAAAATATTATAATGCTCAGGGTTAACCACTGGTTTAAGTCATTCAAAGAAAATAATAGTGTTCAGACGATCTTACTTTAATGTCTTACCAGTGGGTGCTTCCTAGACTGTGAATCATCTCTACTCAGTTGAGTGAATCATCTCTGCTCAGTTCAGTTCAGAACATACTTTAATCTGTTTATTTTATTTTATTTTTATTTTGTATTATATTATATTATATTATATTATATTAGAGACGGAGTTTCGCTCTGTTGCCCAGGCTAGAGTGCAGTGACATCATCTCGGCTCACTGCAACCTTTGCCTCCCAGATTCAAGTGATTCTCCTGCCTCAGCCTCCTGAGTAGCTGGGATTACAGGCGCCCACCACCATACCTGGCTAATTTTTGTACTTTTAATAGAGATGGGGTTTCACCATGTTGGCGAGACTGGTCTTGAACTCCTGACCACAGGTGATCTGCCCGCCTCGGCCTCCCAGAGTGCTAGGATTACAGGCGTGAGCCACTGTGCCCAGCCAATCTCTTTAAAAAAAAAAAAATACTCAAGTTCTCATTTTGATAATCCAAATATAGCATATAATGATGCCCAAAAACTTCTGACCTATCAAGACTACCCCAACATTAAATAGGACTGTTGTTTTATAGTCGGTGTTTATGTTCTGTCCTTTCTTGCATGAGTATTCTTGACTGAAACTAGGTATATACTGCCAGATAACTGTTAAATGGTCAGTAGGTTCTTACACTAAGGTGTAAAATCCTAGAAAAAAATGGACAGCTAACATTGTGTAACTGGGTAAAAGGCTGGAAGGAATGAAAGAGAGGTAGATGTCCAAATTAATCTTGCCTTGTGGTTTTTCCTTTCTTCAAAAACACCTTCACACATGCACTGCAATTTTTTCACTATAAATATAGTTATGTTAGGCTATGTAACAAAGGTAGAGGTTTGTTTGCTTTAGTAAGTATTAGTTTTTTTAAAAATTAAAACAACTGGATAAAGATTCTGTCATTTATATATTAATATGATTTTATGTAGATGCAGTACTTTTTTTTCCTAATCTAAGCTGAAATAATGCCATATTGTAATAAGGGCAGTTTTGATTGCTATCTTGAAGGGTTCGGGATATAGTTTATTTAGAGCATGTAACTCTTTGGGGGACAGTAAAGCAATCCTGGGTGGTTGACCCAGTAAATGATTTTTTTCTGAGGGGCAGGAAATATGGGAATGTGAGATGGAATAGAGAAATATAAAGAGCAGCATTTAAAACTTTGTATTTTGCTAGGGCCTGATTTAGGGAAGAAAGGGATAAGAGTTATCTTTCTCCTTATAGGAGGGAACTGCATGGTATATGGCTCTCTTCTTCCCAACTCATGATCATCATCATATTTTAGTTACATTATTATAATATGCCTTAGTAGGTTAGTTTGGGGAGCTTAACTACAATGTACAATGTACTTTAGAAAGGTAGTTTGAGGACAACTGGATTTTCAGAATCTTGTGTCATAATCTGTGGATTACATCTATAAACAACAAATACTAGCAGCTCTAAGTTTATGTGAATTTTGGCCTTATAATCAAGTTAACCAAAATTACAGAATTCAAAGCTAGACTCATAATATTTTACCATTTGAATTTTTTTTTTTTTTTTTTTAATGTGGCACGATTCTTTTAAGGTTTCAGGTACGTTCACCAACTTTCTTTCAAAAATCCCGGGACCAGCATTGGTACATTACTCAGTTGGAAGCTGCACAGACTAGTTATATCCAACAAATAAACAACCTTAAAGAGGTAAGGAAATATATATTTCTGGTTTAGTGTTTCCTATTGTCCTTTTGGCTTGTTATATTTGTAATTAGATTTAATATATTTATTGCTATTTGTAATTTTGTAGTTTATAATCGGAAAAAAAATCTAGTTATCCTGTTCCCCATCCTTACTGGTTCTGCAGTGTCCCGTTTAGTAACCACTAGTCACATATGGCTATGTAAATTTTTGTTTTACTTTATTTATTTTTTATTTTGGAGACAGGGTCACACTCACTCTTGTTGCCAGGAACAGTTTCCACTAACTGCAGCTTCAGCTTCCCAAGCTTGGGTGGTCCTCCCACCTTAGCCTCCCAGGTAGCTCTGACTTTGAGCAGGTGTCATGGCTAGTTTTTGTATTTTTTATGGAGACAGGGGCTTCTCCGTATTGCCCAAGCTGGTCTTGAACTCCTGGGCTCAAGCACTCTGCCTGCCTTGGCCTCCTAAAGTGCTGAGGTTACAGGTGTGAGCCACTGTGCCTGGTCTGTAAATTTAACTTGATTAAAATTAAAAATTTAATTCCTTAGTTGCAGTAGCCACATTTCAAGTGCTTGCATTGGGTACTGCAAATCTAGAGCATTTCCGTCATTGCATAAAGTTGTTTTGAACAGTGTGGCTGTAGTTTGAGGTAAGCTCTTTGTGTTTCTGTCAGTGACTTAGTGTCTCTTCCACAAGTTATCTTGGATTTAGAGGATTCTAGGCTATAGCACAATTAAAAGTTGTCCCATCTTGAACTCTTAACTATTGTTGAATGAGCAGTGGAGAAGATTAATTGATGAATTTTTATTTTACAATGATAAACTAAGGAATGTTTCATTTCCCTTAGGAACTTAGGATGTGGCAGAAGGTTTGGAGTGCTGAGAATCGTTAATAGGTCAGGGAGGAAAATATGAATAAATACATGCTTTCAGAGATTTTCATGTTAAATGTACTATTTAAAACTACCTGTATTCACTATACTGTTTGCTATTTGTATGTTTAGCTTAGGCTGGATATGAAAGAAGGAAGATGAGCATATATGGGGCAGTTTATCTTTGTCATCAATTTTTTTCATAAATAAAAGGCAGTAGGCATTCAGAGAAATAGTTTAAGAAATGGTGCCAAGTGAGGTGGCTCACTCCTGTAATCCCAGCATGTTGGGAGGCCGAGACCAGAAGATCATTTGAGCCCAGGAGTTCAAAACCAGCCTGAGCAACGTAGCAAGATAAATAAAAAATGAAATTAGCTAAGCATGGTGGCACATGCCTCCAGTCCCAGCCACTTGAGAGGCTGAGGCAGTAGGATCTCTTGAGCCCAGTAGTTCAAGGCTTGCAGTGAGCTGTGATGGCACCACTGCACTTCAGCCTGGGCAACAGAGTGAGACAGTTCTCAAAAAATAAATAAGGAAAGAAAGAAATGGTTTTAGGAGCGTCTGGGTGCATTTTTTTTTAGCTAGAAACATCTTTTACTGTGCCAGTGAGCTATGGCTAATATTTGTGCTTTTCTTGTTTTAAAAGAGACTTACTATTGAGCTATCTCGAACTCAGAAGTCAAGAGATTTGTCACCACCAGATAACCATCTTAGCCCCCAAAATGATGATGTTCCGGAGACACGAGCTAAGAAGTCTGCGTGCTCTGACATGCTTCTTGAGGGTGGTCCTACTACAGCTTCTATAAGAGAGGCCAAAGAGGATGAAGAAGAGGAGGAGAAGATTCAGAATGAAGATTATCATGTAATAATGAGGCCAGTTTTAGATTTTTGTGTTTGATAAAAGAAACAGTAGAATCATGGCTTTTAACGTATTATGTGCTGAAACAGTAGGCTAAAAATATTGTCCATTGATTTCCATTAGTAATGTATATATGCCCTTATGTAAATGTTAATAAGTCAGAAGTTGTTGAATCAAAGCATTTCAAGATTCTGAAATAAAACAATACATTCTATAAAACAAACTGTGATGTACATTTTAAAAACTAAACTACCAGGCCGGGCGCGGTGGCTCAAGCCTGTAATCCCAGCACTTTGGGAGGCCGAGGCGGGTGGATCACGAGGTCAGGAGATCGAGACTATCCTGGCTAACACGGTGAAACCCCGTCTCTACTAAAAATACAAAAAGAAATTAGCCGGGCGTGGTGGCGGGTGCCTGTAGTCCCAGCTACTCGGGAGGCTGAGGCAGGAGAATGGCATGAACACAGGAGGCAGAGCTTGCAGTGAGCCAAGATCGCACCACTACACTCCAGCCTGGGCAACAGAGCGAGACTGTCTCAAAAAAAAAAAAAAAATTGTTTTTCATGACTAATACTTTTTGAGAAATACAGAATAGTTTATTTTGTAGAAAGTCCCTCAATTTGGATTAGTCTGAAGTTTCCTCATGATTAGATAGAGATTACACAGTTTTGGCAGGGATACTACGGAAATGATAATGTATCCTTTTCACTGCATCATGTGGGAGTGGAGCATGATGTCAGTATGTCCCATTACTTGTGGTTAATTTTGATCACTTGTTTGAGGTAGCATCCGCCAGATTTCTGCACTCCAAAGTTACTACTTTTTCCTTTATAATTAATAAGTATCTTGTGTATGGGACTGTAAATATCGTATTTTTCTTCCTACTTTTTCCTGTGAATTTTGACACCCCTTGATGAGTGTTGCTTGAAAAAGGTTACTGTGTTGATTGCCAAGTGGTGTTTTTCTAATTCCATTATTTCTCATTCATTAGTTGCAATTTAAGGAAGAGCTTTCCCTTCTGCCCTATTGATGAACTAATTAATGAATATCATTAATGTGGATAAATTTTTTTTTTTGAGATGGAATCTTGCTCTGTCACCCAGGCTGGCATGCAGTGTCACGATCTTGGCTCACTGCAACCTCCACGTCCTGGGTTCAGGTGATCCTTCCACCTTAGCCTCCCGAGTAGCAAGGATTACGGGCACATACCACCACGCCTGGCTATTTTTTTTGTATTTTTAGTGGAGACGGGGTTTCACCACGTTGGCCAGGCTGGTCTTGAACTCCTGACTTCAGGTGATCTTCCCACCTCAGCCTCCCAAAGTGCTGGGATTACAGGTGTGAGCCACTGCGCCTGGCGATTTTTGGATTTTTAAACCAAGCTTGCCTTCCTGGGACACATCCCACTTGGTCATAGTGTGTAATTTTTTTTTTTTTTTTTTTTTGAGACAGAGTCTCACACTGTCACCCAGGCTGAAGTGCAATGGCATGATCTCGGTTCACTGCAACCTCCGCCTCCCAGGTTCAAGCGATTCTCCTGTCTCAGCCTCCTGAGTAGCTGGGATTATAGGCACCCACCACTACGCCTGGCTAATTTTTTCTATTTTTAGTAGAGATGAGGTTTCACTATGTTGGTCAGGCTGGTCTCAAACACCTGACCTCGTGATCCACCGTCTCGTCCTCCCAAAGTGCTGGAATTACAAGTGTGATCCACCTTGCCTGGCCGTCCTTTTTTTTTTTCTTTTTTTAATTTGAGACGGTGTCTCTCTCTGTCACCCAGGCTGGAGTGCAGTGGCGCGATACCCACTCTCTGCAAGCTCTGCCTCCCGATTCACACCATTCTCCTGCCTCAGCCTCCCGAGTAGCTGGGACTACAGGCTCCCACCACCTGGCCTGGCTAAGTTTTTTTTGTATTTTTAATAGAGATGGGGTTTCACCGTGTTAGACAGGATGGTCTCGATCTCCTGACCTCGTGATCCGCCTGCCTTGGCCTGCCAAAGTGCTGGCATTGCAGGTGTGAGCCATTACACCCAGAAATTTTTTTTTTTTTTTTTCCTAAGAAAATCTTGCTTTGTGGCCGGGCTGGAGTACTGTGGCATGTCCTTGGTTACTGTCCCCGTAACCTTGAACTCTGGCCTCAAGTGATCCACCTGCTTCAGCCTTCCTAGTAGCTAGGACTACTGGTGTGCATCATCACGCTTGGCTCATGATTCTTTTTATATGTTGCTGGATTCTGTTTGCTAGTACAGTTGTCCCTCAGTATACTTGTGGTATTGGTTCTAGGACCCCTCCTTGGATACTAAAATCTGAGGATGCTCAAGTCTCTTATATAAAATGGCAGAGTAGTTGCATATAACCTATACACATCCTCCCCTATACTTTAAATCATTTCTAGATTACTTATAATACCTAATACAATGTAAATGCTATGTTGTTATGCTCTATAGTATACAGAATAATGACAAGGGGAAAAAGTCTGTGCATGGCTTTATTTTGTTTTGTTTTATTTATTTTTTTTGAGATGGAGTTTCGCTCTTGTCGCCCAGGCTGGAACGCAATGGCACAATCTCAGCTCACTGCAGCCTCCACCTCCCGGGTTCAAGCGGTTTTCCTGCCTCAGCCTGCTGAGTAGCTGGGATTATACACACCTGCCACCATGTCTGACTAATTTTTTGTATTTTTAGTAGAGACAGGGTTTTGCCATGTTGGCCAAGCTGGTTTCAAACTCCTGGTCTCAGGTGATCCACCTGCCTCGGCCTCCCAAAGTGCTGGGATTACAGACGTGAGCCCCCGCACCCGGCCAACTTTATTTTTTGAGACAGGGTCTTGCCCTGTCACCCAAGCTGGAGTGCAGTGGTGTTGTGATCACGGCTCACTGCAACCTCGACCTCCTGGGCTCAAGTGATCCTCCCACCTCGGTTTTCCAAGTAGCTAGGACTACAGGTGCTTGCCAACACACCTGGCTAATTTTTAAATTTTTTGTAGAGATGGGGTCTCACTATGGCCTTACTATGTTGTTCTAGGCTGGCCCCGAACTCCTAGGCTCAAGCAGTCCTCCAGCCTCGGCTTCCCCAAGTGCTGGGATTACAGGCATGAACCACCGCACCAGGCCTTAAAAAATATTTTTGATCCACAGTTGGTTGAATGTGCAGATGCAGAGCCCACAGATATAGAAGGCCAACTGTATTTTGTTGATGCTGTTAGTAGTGTTGTATGTTTCTCTGAGTGTTGTATGTGTCTCTGCTTCTCCCTGTAGGCAAAATCTCTGAGCCAAAACTTTGAAGTTGCAGTGAGGATAAAAGTATACCTCTCTTACTTTAGAAGCTGAGCTAACTGGATGTTGGGGACAGTAGCCTTAGTTCTTTCCTTTTCAGGCTTGGGACCTCCACCTTATGAATAAGCTGGGACAGGGATGATCTGGGCCCCAGTATTCTCATCATGCTGCATCCAAGTAGAGCCTCTATTCCACAAGTGGGTCTCAGCAGAAGGGAGTCTCCACCTCTTGGCGGTGTGTGCCCGTACTATAGCATCAGCAATAGGTAGCTGGGGGCAGAATGAGAAATGGAGATATCTTGCCACTCCTAGGAATATAGCCCTCCTCTTGGAAGCTTGGGAAGTGGGAGGCCTATGTTCTTCACTGCACCAATCTGGAGTGGAATTTCTGTAACGCCAAGTTAGGAAGCGGAGTGGTCTTGGTTCAAATCCTGCGGATACCCACTTGTCTTACCCAGGTTTTATAGATTTTTTTGAGTAGATGTTTCTTCATTTGCTGTATACCCTTGGGATCATTTCCAGAGTCGTTAAGTGGTTGTTTTTAAAATAATTGTCACCAGTTTGACTAACGAGCAGATCTGCAGAGCTCCTTACATTGTCAAGCTGGATGCTTATCTTGAGATTTCCTTAAATATCCAAGACTATCATTGATTGGTACTGTTTCAAATAGTACTTTGTTGTTTAAAATAAAGTAATAGTGAGTGTTTTTTAATATGAGAGACTTTGTATGGCCTAGTCAGTACCCTCTTTTCTGAAATTTTATTTTTGGAAAAATAGTATTTAGTCATAAACAGTAATTTGGGCCTTTTTTTTTTTTGGATATTAAATTGTAATATTTTAAGCCTAATTTATTATCATTAAGCTACCAGTTCTCAGAAGCTGGAATTTCTTCTAACAGTGGTTCTTAGATTTATTAGTGTTTCATTTATTTCTTTTTTTTTTTTTGCCTGACACAGTTCTTTTTTTTTTAATCTTCTTTTCCTGTCCTGTCCTGTCCTGTCCTGTCCTGTCCTGTCCTGTCCTTCTTGAGACAGAGTCTCGCTCTGTTGCCCAGGCTGGAGTGCGGTAGTGCAATCTTGGGCTCACTGCAACCTCCACCTCCCAGGTTCAACCGATTCTCCTGCCTCAGCCTCCTGAGGAGCTGGGATTACAGGCACCCACCACAACACCCAGCTAATTTTTGTATTTTTAGGAGAGACAGGGCTTTGCCATGTTGGCCAGGCTGGTCTCGAAATCCTGACCTCAGGTGATCCGCCCACCTTAGCCTCCCAAAGTGCTGGGATTTCAGGTGTGAGCCACCATACCTGGCCTTGATATATATATTTTTTAATTCCTTTTTTTTCTTAGCTTTGTAAGAAGAAATGGCTGATTTTTTTTTTTTTCTTTTTTTTTTTGAGATGGAGTCTCGCTCTGTCCCCCAGGCTGGAGTGCAGTGGCGCAATCTTGGCTCACTGCAAGCTCCGCCTCCTGGGTTCACGCCATTCTCCTGATTCAGCCTCCTGAGTAACTGGGACTACAGGTGTCCGCCACCAAGCCCAGCTAATTTTTAGTATTTTTAGCAGAGACGGGAATTTCACTGTGTTAGCCAGGATGGTCTCAATCTCCTGACCTTGTGATCTGCCCGCCTCAGCCTCCCAAAGTGCTGGGATTATAGGCGTGAGCCACCGTGCCTGGCCGATATTTTTTGAAGGTTGTTTAAACAATAACATTACCACTACTTAAATTTGGATAGTGACAAAAAATCTTTCTCCTTTTTGTATTTAGAAATATCTTATTTCACAGAAAAATCTGCATATCATAAAATTTGTTGAGGTGTGAAAAACGTTTATTGTATCGCTCTATATGAATGATGGATTTTGTATATTCTTAGGTCTGGAGAAAATGATGTGGAATATAACAACATGGAATTAGAAGAGGGAGAACTCATGGAAGATGCAGCTGCAGGACCTGCAGGTAATGAGGTCACCCACTGCCTCCAAGCCATTCTATTTTCTCCCTGCTCTTCTCTGACCGTATTATATTTTAAATAGGTGGTAGCCACTGCTTGTACATGGTTCGTGGTGTTGGAAGTGCTACATCTTGTAATACGGATTTTTTAGAGTTCATTACTAAAGATACTTAATAATAATAGCTACCATTTAAAAAATGTTCTTACGTACCAGGCACTGTGAGAAGCACTTTATATGCCTTATATTAATAAAATTCTGGTGGTACATTCACCGATGGATAGAGAAATTACAGCAACTTGCCAACTTTTAGCAATTTAGTAAATGAGAGTAATTGAATCCCCAGTTTTGTCTGTATCCCATGCTTATATTTTATACTGTTTTCTGATATAAAGTCTTATTTGTATATCTTCCTGGACTATAGAATGATCTCAATGGAATAATTGACTCTTAGACTTACAAAGGATCTTAAAGAGCTCATTTTATGGTTTTTAGTTGCCTGGTCATATAGCTGGTTGTTAGTACAACCAGACTAGAACTCCAGATTGTCCTGGGTTTGTGGACCCAGCATTTTTCTCCCAAACTACACTGCTTCTCCTGGGAAGAACTGACTGATATAATGAGTACTTTTTTTGTGTATTCTCGGATCTACTTAATTAAGTAGTGAATCTTGGCTAGAGTAATTAAAAGTTAGCTTTCTACTGTTTCTGTTTTACCCATGTTCTCCTCAGTGTGAACACTGGCATATTCTTCTTTTTTTTTTTTTTTTTGAGACGGAGTCTCGCTCTGTTGCCCAGGCTGGAGTACAGTGGCGCGATCTTGGCTCACTGCAAGCTCCGCCTCCCAGGCTCACGCCGTTCTCCTGCCTCAGCCTCTGGAGTAGCTAGGACTACAGGCACCCGCCACCACGCCCGGAGAACTTTTTGTATTTTTAGTGAAGACGGGGTTTCACTGTGTTAGCCAGGATGGTCTCGATCTCCTGACCTCATGATCCGCCCGCCTTGGCCTCCCAAAGTGCTGGGATTACAGGCGTGAGCCACTGCGCCTGGCCAACACTGGCATACTCTTAATATGCTTGGATAACTAAAGACTTCTAAATACTAGTCCTCACCATTTCAACTCCAACCTAAGCCCTATATTCTTTCTACTCCTGACTTTAATCCTGGGTAATCGTATCCACACCTGTGTTTCAGTTACTATCTATATATTGATTACTCTTCAAGTTCTTTCTTTAGCCTTTGACTTTCCAGTAATTTCCAAACCCTTATCTTGGTGTGACTCAGCACCTCCCAAACACAAATTACTGTCTTTTCATCTGCCAGCTTGCCTGTCAGCAGTAGCTACCCTGATTGATAGTGCTATACATTCTTTACTTCTTCCTCTCCCTAAAAGTTTACCTTTAGTGTATTACCAAGATCTGTTGGTTCTGTCTCCTAAATCGTGCGTAAATTCATTTGATACTCCCACTCCTTTGCCATTCCTAGTCTAGGCCTCTGTCTTTCACAACAGCCTTTCACCTGGGTTCTTTGTATTTATTATTGTTCCCCTCCATTTTTACAGCATGAATCCATTTTTACAGCATGGATTCAGAATGAGGGTGTTTTTTTCTTTCTGATTAATATCTAATCGTGTTACTTCTCTGCCAGGCTTGGTGACTCACACCTGTAATCTCAGCACTTTGGGAGGCTGATGTGGGTGCATTGCTTGAGTCCAGGAGTTTGAGACCAGCCTGGGCAACGTGGTGAAACCCTGTCTCTACAAAAAATACAAAAAAAGTTAGCCAGATGTGGTGGCAAAATTGCTGCCTGTGGTCCCAGCTATTTGGGTGGCTGAGGTGGGAGGATCACCTGAGCCAGAAAGCAGAGCCTGCAGTAAGCTGAGATAGCACCACTGTACTCCAGCCTAGGCAACAGAGTGAGACCCTGTCTCAAAAAAAGAAATAAAAATAATGAAAAATAATATCTAATCATGTTATTTCTCTACTTAAAAACTCTTTAAGGATTATATTTATTATAGGATAAAGCCCAAACTTGTTAACATGGCAGATAAATTCCTTTATGTCTGGATTCCTGTTTGTTTCCTTAGTCTTACTTCTCTCATTCCTCTGTGTCATTCTTTAGTCAGGAGGAACTTCAAAGAATCACAAGATCTACAAATTTAGAGAGAAAGCTTTAATTCTTATAAAGACTGGCCATCCTGACCAGCTGTGAAGTATAGCCTCTGGTAAAGACTAAAAGCAGGCACTTTGCAGGAGGGAAGGGTAACATAGGAATTGATAATGAATAAGTTGGCCAAGTACAACTAAATGGATTCAACAGGGTATAGGAGGAGCTATGAATATCATGAAGAGGGGAACACATGCATGCGTAGTAGACAAACATGCATGTTACATGCATTTCATGTTTACTTTGGACTGGGGACTGAACATTTAAATGCATTACAATTAGGCCCTGTTGTCAAAAGGTAAAACCAACGACACAAAGGCACTCAGTGCTCAACCTCTGTATACGGGCCAGAACCAGTCCATAGTTGGGGACTCTTAACAGGAGAAAGTTACTGAAATCAGTCTTTTGTCCAGTGAAAGCTCTGTAGTTATGGCTTGTAGAACGGGGAGTGAGTCAGTCAGCATCTGGCAGTCAGTAAGCTGCAATTGTTTCAATATTGCTTATCTTGAGGCCAGTGCTTGCTTAGCTTCTAGAAAAAAGAAGAAACCCTGTTTGGAGTTAGAATGTAGTTTATTCTTTAAGTATAGGGAGCATGTGACTTAATCCCTGTCTGGCATAGCATTAAGTCTTACTGACTGACTGACTTTTCAGCTTTGTGTGTTTTTAGTTAGGTCCATTCTTTCCTCTCTTAAACTGTGTGGTAGGGAAATTCTTGTATATAACATTTATATACACTTAGGGTAAAGAAGAGTTTACATTTTTGAATTATATATTCATCAAATATTTACTGAGCACTTGAACTGTGTACAGTTTTACTATCTAGAGATACAATATTGAATAACAAGATATTCCTGTTCTTATGGAACCTGTGTTATAATTCTGAATGTTCTTTAATAATTCAGGCACTGAATTCTAGATGTTGAAGACATAATAATGAACCAGTTTATTTTTATTATATGCTTTGGGAAATTTATATATTTAGCACAAATTTGTTAAATATCATGCCTACCTGGAAAATACAACACTAAGTAATTTATAACATAAAGGTGAGTGGATTTATGAACAATTAGCTAGAATATGACAGTATACATACAAAAGAATTCCAAATTATTTAAATACTCCCTCCTCAAGGAGATGAAATATAACTTCTACTCCTTAACTGTAGGCTATGCTTAGTTACTTGCTTCTGAAGAGTACAGTTTCAAAAGGGGGAAACAACTTCAAAGTAGAGAAACTTGGCAAACATTACCTACCCAGGTGATTAAATTTAGTATTGTAAGTGATAGGTCATGTTGATAGCATGTTGATAGTATTTTAAGTGATAAGTCATGTTGATATGTTGAGAATGGTACTTTATATCTGTAGTATCTTCCCTCTCTAAAAACCCACAGACAATCTAATCATGAGGGAAAAAGTCATACCCTTAATTGAGGAACATTCTACAAAATATTTGACATACTTTTCAGATATAAAGAAAATCTGAGAGACTGTCATAGACCAGAAGAGTCTAAAAAGACAGGAGCAACTAAATGTATTTCAATACTCTAGGTGAGACTCTGAACAGAAAAAGAACATTAGGGGAAAACTACTAAAATCTCAATAGAATTTAGTTAATAATATATCAGTATTGGTTCATTAGTTGTGACAAATATACCATAGTAATGAAAGGTATTAACATTGGGGAAATTGGGTCTGGGTTTTACACGAACTGTCTGTATTTTTACCTTTCCTGTAAACCTAAAACTAGACTAAAATAAAAGCTTTTTTTTTTTCTTTTGAGATGGCGTCTCGCTCCGTAGCCCAGGTTGGAGTGCAGTGGCATGATCTTGGCTCACTGCAAGCTCTGCCTCCTGGGTTCACACCATTCTGCTGCCTCAGCCTCCCGAGTAGCTGGGACTACAGGCGCACGCCACGACGCCTAGCTAATTTTTTGTATTTTTAGCAGAGACGGGGTTTCACTGTGTTAGCCAGGATAGTCTTGATCTCCTGACCTCGTGATCTGCCCTCCTTGACCTTCCAAAGTACTGGGATTACAGGCGTGAGCCACCACGCCCGGCCAATAAAAAGCTTTTTAAACCAAGGCAATGAAAAAGCTAGATCGGGGTGACAGTGGGCAGAGTGTGGAAATGCTTTTTTGGTTTTTTTTTGGTTTTGTTTTTGGTTTTTTTTGAGACGGAATCTCGCTCTGTCGCCCAGGCTGGAGTGCAGTGGCCTGATCTCAGCTCACTGCAAGCTCCGCCTCCCGCGTTTATGCCATTTTCCTGCCTCAGCCTCCCGAGTAGCTGGGACTACAGGCACCCGCCACCTCGCCTGGCTAGTTTTTTGTATTTTTTTAGTAGAGACGGGGTTTCACCGTGTTAGCCAGGATGGTCTCGATCTCCTGAGCTCGTGATCCGCCCGTCTCGGCCTCCCAAAGTGCTGGGATTACAGGCTTGAGCCACCGTGCCCGGCCTGCTTTTTTGTTATATGCTTATTGTGAAGGTCCATTTCAAGCTTCGAATGGTTTATGTGTTTTTTGTTTTTTGGGACGGAGTCTTGCTCTGTTGCCCAGGGTGGAGTGCAGTGGCACGATCTCAGCTCACTGCAACCTCTGCCTCCTGGGTTCAGGCCATTCTCCTACCTCAGCCTACCAGATAGCTGGGACTACAGGCATGCATCACCATTCCCTCCCGGCTTTTTTGTATTTTTAGTAGAGATGGGGTTTCACCATGCTGGCCAGCTGGTCTCAAACTCCTGACCTCAAGTGATCCACCCACCTCTGCCTCCCAAAGTGCTGGGATTACAGATGTGAGCCATTGTGCCAGGCCTGGTTAAAGTTATGTCATCTAGAGAATTACGATGTTATGTTATGCGTTAAAAAGGAGATGGTTGGGCTTATATAAAAGCTAGGTATAAAGTTAAATGTTTACTTAATAATCTCATTTTATAGACCGTATTAAATAAGGAGATAGCTTGAAACAAGAAATATTTATTGACTCAGGTGGCTGTAGTTCTGGCTACTTGGGAGACTGGCAGGAGGATCGCTTGAGCCTAGGAGTTCGAGGGTACAGTGAGCCATGATTGCGCCACCGTACTCCAGCGTGGGTGACAGAGCAAGACCCTGTCTCTTACACACACACATGCGCGTGCGCACACACACACACACACAACCAGCAAATACAAACTGGATTTTTCCTACTCACTGGATTCAGTGAGGCAATAATCTGGATTAGAATGATATTTACAACCTTTTCAGCACAAATGTTTTTTGACATAAATTTTTTTTTTTTTTTTTTGAGATAGAGTCTCGCTCTGTTGCCCAGGCTGGAGTGCAGTGGCCTGATCTCAGTTCACTGCAAGCTCCGCCTCCCGGGTTTACGCCATTCTCCTGCCTCAGCCTCCCAAGTAGCTGGGACTACAGGCGCCTGCCATCATGCCCGGCTAGTTTTTTGTATTTTTTTTAGTAGAGACGGGGTTTCACCGTGTTAGCCAGGATGGTCTCGATCTCCTGACCTTGTGATCCACCCGTCTCGGCCTCCCTAAGTGCTGGGATTACAGGCTTGAGCCACCGTGCCCGGCCAACATAAATTATCTTTCACTTAAATTCAAATAACTGAATAAACTAAAAGCAGTTCTCATAAGAAGACGTCTGCAGATGCCACCACACCCAACTAATTATTTTTTGTAGAGACGGAGTCTTTCTCTCTTGCCCTGGCTGGTCTCCAACTTCTGGCCTCAATCCTCCTGCCTCAGCCTCCCAAAGTGTTGGGATTACAGGCGTGAGCTATTGCACCTGGCCCACAGATGTTAGAAAAATGAATGAGCATAATTTTTAAATGAAAATCCAGCACTGATCATTACAAGATTTTGTGATTGTAAATATCAGTATGTAATTTATAACAAAATAAAGGATGTGAAAATGTAGAATATTCTGGAAAGGTAGTTGAGTACTAGACTGTAATAGGGTCTTGAGTGTCATGATAATGCATACAGGCAGTATGCTGTAATGAACTCAAGTATATCAGTGTGACATTTTAGCAAGATTCATATCGCTTGGCACAAATGGAGAAGAACCTGTCACTGATCCGTTTGTCTTTTTATGAGGTTTTTTTTTTCCCTATGTGAACTTCAGAAGCATAGTTTTTTTTTTTTTTTTTTGAATCTCACTCTGTCGCCCAAGCTAGAATGCAGTGGCGTGATCTCAGCTCACTGCAACCTCTGCCTCCCTGGTTCAAGCAGTTCTACCCCAGCCTCCCAAGTAACTGGGATTACAGGCGCCCTCCACCACGGCTGGCTAATTTTTGTATTTTTAGTAGAGATGGGGTTTCACCATCGTGGCCAGGCTGGTCTTGAACTCCTGACCTCGTGATCCACCTGCCTCGGCCTCTGAAAGTGCTGGGATTACAGGCGTGAGCCACTGTGCCTGGCTGCATAGCTTTATTCTTAATAGCCAAAAACTAGAAGCAACCCAAATTGTTTTCCAATAGAATAGAGAAATAAATTGGATATATTCATAAACTGATGCTGCACAGTAATAATGAAAATGAGGCAGTGGCTCATGCCTGTAATCCCAGCACTTTGGGAGGCTGAGTCATGTGGGTCACTTGAGGCCAGGAGTTCAAGACCAGCCTGGCCAATATGGCAAAACCTGATTTCTACTAAAATTAGAAAAAATTAGCTGGGTGAAATGACGCATGCCTGTAATCCCAGCTACTCGGGAGGCTGAGGCATAAGAATCATTTGAACCTGGGAGGTGGAAGTTGTGGTGAGCCAAGATTGCACTACTGTATTCCAGCCTGGGTGACAAAGCAAGACTCTGTCTCAAAAAAAAGAAAAAGAAAAATATTTAAAAAGAATATTAAAAAAAAATTTTTTTTAAAGAAAATGAATAAGCTACTCCTATATACAGCCATATAGATGAATCTCATGAATAATGTTGACCAAAGAAGAAGAGCATAAGAGCATACTCTGTTACTTTTACATAAATACAAACAGGCAAAACCAATCTGTAATTTAAGTTAGAATGAAGATTACTTTTGTAGAGTAGGAGTAGTGAGCAATTTTAGGAGGCATAGGAGGGGGTTCTGGGGTACTGATGATCTATTTCTTCATCTGGGTGTGATCACTTTATGAGTATTCATTGGGCTGTACATTTGTATATGAGACACACAGAATAGCTTGGAAAGAGAGAAACTGAAATCGATGCCAACCCAGTCTTTGATGCCTGTGGGGAAATTTGATAGTGGGTAGAAAGGTGGGAACATAGGCCGGGCACACTGGCTCCTGCCTGTAATCCCAGCACTTTGGGAGGCCAAGGCGGGCTGATCACCTGAGGTCGGGAGTTCTAAGACCAGCCTGACCAACATGGAGAAACCCCCGTCTCTACTAAAAATACAAAATTAGCCAGGCGTGGTGCCGCATGCCTGTAATCCCAGCTACAAGGGAGGCTGAGACAGGAGAATCACTTGAATCTGGGAGGCGAGACTCTGTCTCAAAAAAAAAAAGAAAAAAAAGGTGGGAACATTTGAAAGGGGAGTAGCCAAAGGTCATACCCACAGGGGGAAAAAAAAAGTTATTGTTCAGTCGTGAGAATAATGGCCTGAAAAAGCAGTGAGAAACAGGAAACACTGCTTTCTCTACTGTAAGTGCATTTAACATGGAAGAATGAGCAACTTCCGTTTTTAAAGGAGAACCAGATATTAGGGCGGTAAACTCCATTCACTGGGCTACTGGGCTTACTATACGTAAGAATAGTCTGACTAGCTTTTTGGGAATAAGTCCTGGATCTCACCCCCGTATCCTTTTTTTTTTTTTTGAGATGGAGCCTCACTCTGTCACTCACATTAGAGTGCAGTGGTGTGATCTTGGCTCACTGTAACCTCTGCCTCTCAGGTTCAAGCAATTCTCCTGCCTCAGCCTCCTGAGTAGCTGGGATTACAGGTGCCTGCCACCACACCTGGCTATTTTTTTGTACTTTTAGTGGAGATGGGGTTTCTGCATGTTGGCAAGGCTGGTCTCGAACTCCTGACCTCAGGTGATCCACACACCTCGGCCTCCCAAAGTGCTGGGATAACAGGCGTGAGCCATTGCACCCAGCCTCTTACCCCCAGTATTCTTATTCAGTAGATCTAGGATGTAATTTTAAAAACTCCTTCAGGTGACTGACATACAACCCAATTTGAGAATTCCTTAGTAAAAGAAAAGAGATAAAAACAGTTTTCAGCTGGGTGCGGTGACTCACGCCTGTAATCCCAGCACTTTGGGAGGCTGAGGCGGGTGGATCACTAGGTCAGGAGATCCAGACCATCCATGAAACCCCGTCTCTACTGAAAATACAAAAATTAGCCGGGTGTGGTGGCGCATGTCTGTAGTCTCCGCCACGGGAGTCTGAGGCAGGAGAATCGCTTGAACCCAGGAGGCGGAGGTTGCTGTGAGCGGAGATCGGGCCACTGCACTCCAACCTGGGCAACAGTGAGACTGTATCTCAAAAAAAAATAAGTGTTTTGTTTTTGTTTTTGTTCAATGTGAAGGGGAAATCGTTTTCTGTTATTTAAGAGGAATTGCAGTGTTTACGGAGGCTGGGAAGAAAAACTGTCAGTGAGATAATAATCCTTAGAAGAGGAGATAGAAGTGGGAGACAGTGAGAACATGAGGATGTGAAAAGCATAAATTATTAATTGGCTTGAAGCTTCTGAATAATGGAGCTTTCCTCCTAAGTTATATCCTTCTGGATCTCTCTGAAATACTCATGAGTAGTCAGAACCTGACTTTTTAATATTTTATATTATCTACTTTCGTGCATGTAGCATTTTTTAAAAATGTTCTCTTTAGAATATATTTAAACAGCTTTATTGAAGAAGGTCAGTTTTAAGCAACATTTCCATACCTGGTATTTGCTATGCATTATAACTAGGTGCTAGAGAAAAGTCAGATGCTTTTCTTGGCTTAAAGAGCATAGTCCAGTATAGGGGTATAGGCATAATATCTGCTTACAGATGTCTGTAATATGCATCAGTCATTAACATGACAGTCCGAAAACTTCAAATTATACCCCATTATTTAATCAAAGTAGAAAAAGTCTACCAAACCATCATGACCTGTACATTTTGTTGTCCAGAGACTTGGATGAGATTCCTATTTTGGTGTCTAATACTCTGTAATCTGTTATACTATGGGAATTTGTCGTCTTTCATCTAAAACCAGGTGGTCACGGGATATAATCTCCTCCTCACCCTCAGCCCTCATCCCTCCGATTGTGCCCATTGTACACATTGTCATCTTTTTTTTTCTAGGGCTCAGGATGGGGTTGATGCTTGCTTCTGAGTTCTAAGTACTAATGAGGCCACCACTCAATCACTGTGCTAGTGTACAACTCTCTGGCCATCTGGTTCCTTCTTTCTGCTTCTTATCATGAACCTGAACTCCTAAGAGATAGGTCCATAGACAAGTATTCATATAATGTTAACCAGTTCATTTTTTCATTTAAATATAGCTAAATTTGTGCAGATACGTATATCATACATTTTCTACACCTCTTTTGCAGGTAGTAACCATGGCTATGTGGGTTCCAGTAGTAGAATATCAAGAAGAACACATTTATGCTCTGCTGCTACCAGTAGTTTACTAGACATTGATCCATTAATTTTAATACATTTGTTGGACCTTAAGGACCGGAGCAGTATAGAAAATTTGTGGGGCTTACAACCTCGCCCACCTGCTTCACTTCTGCAGCCCACAGGTAAAATAATACCAGTGATAATTTCCTTTTTTTCTGTGGCTGTCTAAAAGAACTCTTGGATTTTCATTTAAGTATTTCAGCTATGTGTGGAACATGGTATATTTCTGTGTTTTTCATTGTATACCCTAAAAATGATATTTATATAAACTAAATTAATTTTTAAATTACTGTTCAAAGGTGATTTGTGCAAAAACAAAGTAAAAATGCCCACAAGAAGGTTTTTTATGATTTTGCTACTCAGATTTTGCCTGATAGTTTGATCCATATGAAATACAGTTATCTTCTTTGTGAATGGACTTTTTTTGGTCAGGCTTCATGAATTCCCTTACTTCCAAGTGGAACTATATCTAAATTGAACATAGAAAAAGGTGACTTACTCATTCTTCGATGTTCAATAGCCTAAAAATGTACACCAGTTGGCAGCAATGCTTTCTGTGCAAAGGTTATTTGTTAAATGGAAATTACATTTGTGTTACTATAATAAAATGGAGATTTGTATAGTCAAACATGGGCTTTTTAAAACTCAGGGGTAGAGTCATTTTGGACAACTAAGGATTTGCCTTTAAAAACTACATTTTAAAAACCATTTTTGTTGGAATGCTTTCTAAAGTATATTCAGTATATTCAAAAATATATGACAAATATTTTTCTACCTTCTTAAACAATAGTATTATATACATCAAATCAATGATTTAGAACTCTGATTTTGATGCAGTTTTAAGGCAAGAGAACTCATTTTTCAATCAAAGTCCAAGGCAGAACCTCTGTGTAAGTAACAGAGAAGTAGAGCTCCTCTACTGGTGTAGAGACATGGAGTCCAGATTATTTAGGCTTCTTCATTCCTAGAAGCCAGATATACTTCCTGAAAGTCTGGATCCTCAGTTTAAAAGACTGTCTTCAGGTTATGAAATAGTTGCCTTTTACGTGTGCGCCAAGTATGCTTTATATAAAGTTTTACTTAAATGACAAGTAGTGTTTGCAAAGGCCCAGTGAAACAGACAGGTTCTGATTCCATAGGTGGATATGTAAGTTGGTTTAACCTTTTTGAAGGACAATTTTGCAGTAGTTTTAAAATATCTATATCCTTTAAACCTGGAATTTAACTTTGAGGAGTATATTCCAAAGAGAAAACAATCAGATGTTTAAAAATATTCAACAATACAGTTATAGCTGAATAAATTACAGCGTAACCATACAATGGTATATTTTATAGACAGGTAAAATCGTGTTTTTGAAAATATTCAGTCTCATTGGGAAAAATGCAAACTAAACAGTAAGATTTCTGTTTAAAACTAATTTTTGGCCGGGCGCAGTGGCTCACACCTGTAATCCCAGCACTTTGGGGGGCCGAGGCGGGCGGATCACGAGATCAGGAGATCAAGACCATCCTGGCTAACCCGGTGAAACCCCATCTCTACCAAGGACACAGAAAATTGGCTGGGCGTTGTGGCAGGCGCCTGTAGTCCCAGCTACTCAGCAGGAGAATGGAGTGAACCCGGGAGGCGGAGGTTGCAGTGAGTCGAGATCGCACCACTGCACTCCAGCCTGGGCAACAGATATAGGCTCCGTCTCCAAAAAAAAAAAAAAAAAAAAAAAAAAAAAAAAAATGCCCCCCCCAAAAAAAAAAAAAAAAAAAAAAAAAAAGACTAGTTTTCTGTGTAAAAATAATACAAATGAGATTATCTGCATTTCAAACATAGATAAAATGCTGATGATAATGAGGGTGGGGAAAATAGTAGAAAGAAAAAGCAAGTTTTTGATTTAAACATCTTGAGTTGGGCATAACAGTGTGACATCAAATTAGAGAGGACCAGTAGACAGCTAAAAATTAAGAACTGGAGCTGGGTGCAGTGGCTCACGCCTGTAGTCTCAGCACTTTGGGAGGCTGAGGCTGGTGGATCACCTGAGGTCAGGAGTTCGAGACCAGCCTGGCCAACATGGTGAAACCCTGTCTCTACTAAAAATACAAAAAATTAGCCCACCATTGTGGCAGGTGCCTGTAATCCCAGCTACTTAGGAGGCTGAGGCAGGAAAATGGCTTGAACCTGGGAGTCGGAGGTTGCAGTAAGCCGAGATTGCACCATTGGACTCCAGCTTGGGCAACAAGAGTGAAACTCCATCTCAAAAAACAAACAAACAAACAAAAAACTGGAATACAGACAGTTATTCTTCTGGAGGTGATACTGGATAATTAAAACCAAGGGTGTGAGATTGCAAAAGAATTTTGAGAATATTTTAAAAGAAGAGAGCCAGGAACATAATCCTGATGAACATCTGTTTTTAGTGAGTGTGAGGAAGATGGGCCAGATAAAGAGCTTTTAGAAAGGAGAAAAACCAAGAGAAACACTCATGGAAGCCAGATGAAAATACCTTTCAGCGAAGGGATGTTGGTAAGCTAGTGTGCAGAAAGATAATGACTTTCTTTTTATTGAAAAGGCTTGCTTGGGTCCTTTTTTGTTTGTTTGCTTGTTTTTGTTTTTGTTGTTGTTGTTGTTGTTTTTGAGACAGAGTCTCACTCTGTTGCCCAGGCTGGAGTGCAATGGCGGGATTTCAGCTCACTGCAACCTCCGTTTCATGGGTTCAAGTGATTCTCATACCTCAGCCACCTGAGTAGCTGGGATTATAGGCGTGAATCCCTGTAATCCCAGCTAATTTTTTGTAGAGACAGGTTTCACGATGTTGGCCAGGCTTGTCTCAAAACTCCTAAGCTCAAGTGATCCACCTGCCTCGGCCTCCCGGAGTGTGCTGGGATTACAGGTGTGAGCCACTGCACCTGGCCTGCTTAGGTTTTGATGTTTATTTTTTTCTGTGTATTTATTTCAACACATATTTAGTGAACATTTGTCAGATTAACTTCAAATTCATGTTCTTAACCATGTAAAGGAGTATTAAAAGGTATTAGGTAATCTAGTTGAACCAGATTTTAAGGTACATATAGTGGTAAGTAGAACTAGAAAGTCGTATTGGGTCCATTCTATGAAAGGACTTGCATGCTAGCCAGAGGAATTTATTCATAGTAGGCATGGAGAGCCATTGTTTTATTTTAGAAGTGGTTAGATTCAGACTGTATTTCAGAAAACTGACAATTCTGAGAAAATTATCAGAAATGGAAGTTCAGTCAGGGTATTACCAAGCCTAGCTAACAAAAAAAATTTTTTTGTACAGATAGGGTGTCACTATGCTCCCCAGGCTGACGTTGAACTTCTGGCCTCAAGCAATTCTCTCACCTCAGCCTCCTAAAGTGCTGGGATTACAGGTGTAAGCCACTGTGCCTGGCCAGCAATACATATTTTTAATATAATGTTATATATGGCAGATTTGACAAAGTATTTGGCTTCTAGATTTTCTTTGTCTTTTTTTTCAATTATAAACATAATAAAAGCTCTGCAGAAAGTTTTAGAAAAGTGGAGAAGTTTAAAGAAGAAAGCACAAGGCAGTAGGGCAGCTTTTAAACTTTTAGAATTAAATGTGTAATTCAAATTTGAGTATGATGTGACTCAGATTCTAACTGAAGGTGTGAATAAGTTAGGATTCTTTATCTTTATTTTCATTAACGGAATTTAGTGCATGTTTTATTGTTGATATCAAGTAAAGCACCCTAGCTTATTTTACACATCAAATTTGCATATATTCGTATACAAATGATTTCATGAATATTAACGTTTGTTAACATGACTTGTCAATTTCTCCGAAGCATCATATTCTCGAAAAGATAAAGACCAAAGGAAGCAGCAGGCAATGTGGCGAGTGCCCTCTGATTTAAAGATGTTAAAAAGACTCAAAACTCAAATGGCCGAAGTTCGATGTATGAAAACTGATGTAAAGAATACACTTTCAGAAATAAAAAGCAGCATTGCCGCTTCTGGAGACATGCAGACAAGCCTTTTTTCTGCTGACCAGGCAGCTCTGGCTGCATGTGGAACTGAAAACTCTGGCAGATTACAGGATTTGGGAATGGAACTCCTGGCAAAGTCATCAGTTGCCAGTTGTTACATACGAAACTGTAAGTAATATGTTCCTAGTGTCATTTCTCCACATGTTATTTGGGAAACTAGATGACTGTTTTTTTCAAAAGAATAATATTTAAATACCTCTATTCCAGTGAATTAAGACTACAAATACATGTGACTTTTTTCCTCATCCAAAATTGATTCCGTATATTTTTACTATATAGTAGAGCTAACATTTCTTGATTGCTTACTCTGTATTTGGCAATGAACACGACAAAATTCTTAACATCATAGATCTTGTATTCTAGTAATGAGAATCAGACATTAAAATGTGTAAACAAATCAAGATCATTTCAGTGGGTAAAAGGTGCTGTGAAGGAAACAACCGAGGAGTGGGATGGGAGGAGCATATGAGACATGTTCTATTGGGGTAGTCAGAGAAAGTCTCTGTGAGGAGGCAGCCCTTGACCTGAGACCTGAAGGTTAGGAAGGTGGCAGCTATTTAGAGATCTAAGGCAAGCAGTGTTCTGGGTAAACAGAACGGAAAATGCAGAGTCACTGACACAGTATTTATTTTGCGTATTTGAAGGATTGAAGGAAAACCAGTATAGCAACGAAAGCAGAGAGAGGAGACTAGCAGGAGATGAAGTCAGAGAGAGGTAGGCAGAATTTAGATCAGGCAGAGTCTTGTAAAACCTCAAAAAGGAGTTCAAGTTTTATGATGTAAGGAGGAAGCCTCTGGAGAATAAAAATAGGGGATGTTTATAATCTGATTTACACTTTATAAAATGACTTTGCTTGTTGTGTGGAGAAGGGTCTGAAAAGGGTTGAGGACAGGAGTTGTGAGACCAGGAACAGCCTATTACATTATCTTGTGTGAAATATGATGGCATTTTCTGGAGTTATAATAGTGGATAGAGGACTTACTCACAGGCCAGCAGCCTTTCTGACTGAGGTTTCCATCTTTCTTAGTTCTCTTAAGGATGTGCTATTCTCTTCTAGATGCATAGGAGGGGAGTTAATCCAGTCTTAGATCAGCAGGGCTGAGTTCTTTCTCAGAACAATAGTTGAAAAAGCCTAAATAGAGTTTTAGGAAAAGTAAGAAACTAAGAATTATGATTAAGTTTTGGCCTAAGCAACTTAGTAGCCAGTGGTATCATTTACTGAGAAGCAAATAAGATAAGAAGCAGGTTGTGGGGCTTGGGAGGAGGTAAGGGCAGAAAGTGGGTATTCTTTTTTAAACATGTTAAATTTGAGACACCTGCTAGATGTCCTAGCAAAATGTCATAGACACACGAATGGTACACAAGTTTGAAACTCAGAGAGAGGTCAATGCTGGATATAAACAGTTGGGAGTCAGTAGTATTTTCTATTATTTAAATCCAGAGGACTGAATAGGTCAAGTTTGGAGGGAGTTTCAATGGAGAAGCAAAATTTTGACTCTGTGGCACTTAAACATTTAAAGGGCTGATAAATAGGAGAGGCCAGCAAGGGAAGTTGAAAGAGCAATCATTAGGGTAGGAGAAAAACTAGAAGGGATAATATGTCAAAAATCAAAAATAATGCATCTCAAGAAGTAGAGTGGTTACCCCTGTGTTAAATATCATTGAGAAGTGTCAAGGCAAGAGGCCAAGTGGCCCTTTTAAGAACCATTCCCATGGAGTAGTGTAGCAGAAGAGTGAATGAGGTCAGGGACCAGAGCGCAAATGTACAACTTCTTTCAAAGAAGTTTCACAATGAAGTAGGTAGAAGCTGGAGGAGGTGTGGGGTCAATAGTTTCTTGTTGGCAGGGGTGTCCTTTTTTGTGTCCTCTTCAATTTTTTTCATCTGTGAATTAAACCCATTTTAAAATTGGGTTGGCTTGTTTATTTGTAGTTGACTTTTAGGAGTTCTGTATATATTTTAAATATTAATCTTTTATCAATTATATGATTTGCAAATGTTTTCTCCCAGTGTGGGGGTTGCCTTTTCCCTCTGTGGATTGTGTCATTTGACATTTAAAGTTTTTAATTTGAAGAAGCACATTTTATGTGTTTTTCCTTTTGTTCCCTGTGCTTTTGGTGTCATAACCAAGAAAACATTGCCGAATCCATTGTCATGAAGCTTTCTCCTGTTTTCTTCCAAAAGTTTTAGTTTTTGCTTTTAGTCTTACTTTTAGTCTTTCATCCATTAGGAATTAAGTTTTGTTTATGGTGTCAGGGAAGGGTCTGACTTGCCCATGGATATCCAGTTTTCCCAGCGCTATTTGTTGAAAAGACTTTTCTTTCCTCATTGAATGGTTTCAGCACCGTTGTCTAAATCATTTGACGATATAGATGAGGGTCTGTTTCTAGGTTCTCTTTGTGTGTGTTGTTTATTAAAATTGGCTGTATTAGGCCGGGCGCGGTGGCTCAAGCCTGTAATCCCAGCACTTTGGGAGGCCGAGACGGGCGGATCACGAGGTCAGGAGATCAAGACCATCCTGGCTAACACGGTGAAACCCCGTCTCTACTAAAAAATACAAAAAACTAGCCAGGCGAGGTGGCGGGCGCCTGTAGTCCCAGCTACTTGGGAGGCTGAGGCAGGAGAATGGCGTAAACCCGGGAGGCGGAGCTTGCAGTGAGCTGAGATCCGGCCATTGCACTCCAGTCTGGGCGACAGAAAAACCCCTTCTCAAAAAAAAAAAAAAAAAGTTGCCTGTATTAATGTTTGATACTGATGTGAATAATCCAGTAAAGATGGGTTGGCGAGGAGATAATTGCAAAATTTATAGAATTCTCTTAATATAAGGAAGACAATTTAGTAGAATGAATAAAGGTTATGAATAGGCCATTAACATAAAAAATACAAATGTACAATAAAAATATGAAAAGATATTTGGCCTCACCTGCTATTCAAGGAAATGGTATATTAAGCCAAATGGTATATTAAAACCAAAAGTACAGCTTTTTGAGTGAACTTTCTCAAAAAGCCTTTGTTACATATTTTGCAGATACAGTCGACCCTTGAACAGCACAGGCTTGTACTGTACAGGTCCACTTAATATTCGAATTTTTTTCAACCAGAGGAAGATTGAAAATACAATATTCGGGTGATGCCAAACATGCATATAGGAAGGCCAACTTTCATATAGGCAGATTCTGCAGATCTTACGGTGGGACTTCAGTTGAGGATTTTGGTGCAGGGGTCCTGGAACCAACCCCCACGTATTCCAAGGGACAGCTGTCTCTTCCCCATTGCCACCTTTTTTTCCTGCTAATCACAGAGGTTTAAAATTTTATCTTAGACATCTGTATTATTAATATTCATGGCATTGGGGGTCTTACTGTTTTTATTTGGAAGGCTTTTTAACTCCCAAGTTAATAAAAATAACCCTTAATTTCTTCTGGTACTTTTTGTTTTCTAACTTTTTTACATATAGGTCATTAATTCATGTGAAGTTAATTTTATATGATGCTGTGTGAGGTAAGTGGAATGATGTTTTCCCCAAATGAATGAAACATGTTTTTTGAAATATGCTGCAATATGAAATCCATCCTTTATTATAGAGCAGATTCCCAAACATGGTTCTGTTTTTGAACTCATAGAGGCTGAAACAAATGAAATTGCCAGTACTCAAGTTTTGGACATACAGAAACAGCAATTTGGTATTGTTTAACCCACTATTTGTCATGTCCTCTACCAGACTAACACTTTTTTTAACTACTGTAGTTTTATAGTTTGTAATACTATGATAGGATATGTTTATTCTGTTTTTGTTTTTCAAAATGTTATTGGTAGTTCTTGCACGTTTAATCCTCCTCCAAAGTATTTTGACTGGAATTGCTTTACATTTAAAAACTAGTTTGGGGATGCTAGGCACTGTGGCTCATGCCTGTTCATCCCAGCATGATGGAATGCTGTTGGGAGAGGATGGCTTCTTGAGCCCAGGAGTTCAAGATCACATGGCAAGACTTTAATCTCTACAAAAGTAAATTTTTTTGATAAGCCAGTCATGGTAGTATGTACCTGTAATCCCAGCTACTTGGGAGGCTGAGGTGGGAGGATTGCTTGAGGTCAGGAATTTCAGGTGCAGTGAGCCATGATCGTGCCACTACACTCCAATCTGGGCAAGAGTCTTTCTCTCTTAAAGAGAGAGAGATTAATTTGGGCAATTGATACCTTTTCAGCATCAAAGCATTCATGTCTAGGAATGTGGTGCTTCTCCATTTATTCAGGTCATCTATTATATTCATATCCTTTTTTAGAATTTTCAGTTTTTTTCATGTAAGTTCTATATATGTCTTGTTGAATTCATTTCTCAACATATTATATTTCAGGTAGCTATTGTGAGTGGAATCTTTTTCTCTCATAGTATTTTCTAATTGTTACTGACATAAAAGACAAAAATACTGATTTTTATGTTTATTCTGTATTCAACCAATGTAACAATTTTTTTTGTGTGCGGTGGGGGATGGAGTTTCACTCTTGTTGCCCAGGCTGAAGTGCAATGGCACGATCTCGGCTCACTGCAACCTCTGCCTCTTGGGTTCAAGTGATTCTCCTTTGTCAGCCTCTCGAGTAGCTGGAATTACAGGCGCATGCCACCACGCCTGGCTAATTTTTGTATTTTTAGTAGAGACAGGGTTTCATCATATTGGTCAAACTGGTCTTGAACTCCTGACCTCAGGTGATCCTCCCATCCATCGAGCCTCCCAAAGTGCTGGAATTACAAGCATGAGCCACCGCACCTGGCCTGGTGAATTTGTTTTATTAACAGTTTTTCAATCAGTTATCTTGATTTTCTGAATATTTATATCATCAGCAGATAATCATAATTTGTTCATTCCTTTTCTGCTTACTTTTTGTATTGCATTGTCTAGGCAGCTACCTCAACAGTTCCTAGTAACAGTGGTAGGATTTTTATAATTTTTCAACTTTATTTAGGAATTCCTTTAGTTTTTTTTCTCATTAAATTTGAGGTTTGCTATATGTTTCAATAGGTAGTTTTTTGTTTTTGTTTCTCTTTTTTTTTTTTTTTTTTTTGAGACAGAGTCTTGCTCCATCACCCAGGCTGGGGTGCAGTGGCCATCTC